ATACTGATCATTTTATGTGTGTGTGTATGTGAAAGAGAGCGAGAGAGAGAGGATTTATCTCAACGGGGCTATCCTTAAATAAAACAAATACCTTGGACTCTTGAGTATTAAAAACTATTCTCACGTTAGATCCAGTTGATTCTCATACCATGAAATGCTTTGTCTCATACACATCCAAACTCCTTTACTGTTGTTTCTTCCATAACCTAGTTTCTCTCAAAAAGACTTCAGCATGTTCCATGTAATTTACTTAGTGACATGTCTGCCCTGCTCATATCGTCGGTCTGGCCCTGTGCTGTCCAAGATTGCAGCGTTTATGTTCGCTGACATCACAAAATTGTCACAGCGTATTTATTCAAGTCTACCCCAAACCTAAATGCATGGAGATGTGTCAGTTCCCATGAGTACAACCTCCAGCCTTGCGCTCCATCAATGTTGCATGAGGCTGTTATGTCAGCCCATCTTCTCTCCGCGTCTCCTCTTTGATGAACACTTCACTTTACAGCGTGATTTTTTTATTCAAAGCAGAGCGTGGAAGGATCTGATAGAAATGCAGACAGGTACAGAGAGGGGAAGGAAGAGGCAATCAAATCAGATGTAAATGTCGAGACTGTATATTGAATGATTCAATAATGCAAATGTAAATAGACTCATACTCCTCTCCCTCCACTCCTTCTACGCTAATTATTTTACAATACTAATTAATGGACTGCCACTACTTTGTATTATATATATGTACTGCTTTTATCACTCTATGAAATATTTTACAGGCACATTTTTAATTAACCCTTACCAAGGTGCTAAAGTAGCAGAATGTTCTAGAATAAGATCATGACTCAAGGACAAATTCTATAGCATTTTCGCTTCCTGTTAATTATTTCCAGACACTTGTCATACACATTATTCTTCTAGTTGCTTATGTTCTTATGCTCTGTGTCTCGTAAAGATTCAGTCTCCATCTTTTGTCAGTTTCACATAACATTTCTACCTCTGATTTAATCCTGTAGGCGCCTAAAGAGTTAAATCGTAATAATACAATGAAATAGTATCGTTACAAAATGTTTGATTTTGAGATAATTGTACTTTCCTGCCCTTATCATGAATCCGACACCCATTTCTGAATACCTTTTTCCTATCTCAACCGTTGACTCCTATAATCAGTAGCCCGCTAGCTGGTGCTTTCAAAAGAGAACCTGAGCATGGGCACATTGTAATTCCAGGAAAGTCTGATTGCATGTAAAATTCAACCTGCAATAATAAACACACTACCACAAACCACTGAAGTCACACTCACCATTCTGCTCTCCATTTTTTAGGGGGTTAAAAGTTAAATCTCCTGGTATTTTTTCTTTTAATATCAGACAGCTGTATGACTAGCCATGGCTACTTTCATCTTGAGAACCTTAGGGAATCTTAGGGAACAGAATAGATGTCAATAAGCATTTTGATACGCAATATGCAAAAGGTTGCATTCATGTAACATCACAACGTTCTGTAGTTTACAATTGTGGTGGAGGGAAGCTGAAAAATCCTTTCTCGTAACTATAGCAACTGTCAAAAGTTAACATTTCTCCTAATGTGTTTCGAAGCATTGTGATGATGAAAACAACAAACGTCATATGTATGGTTGTATAGTGTTGGCCAGTAGAAAAGATATAATAATAATATGGCTTGTTTGTGGATCAAAAAATTGTTCCAAAATTGCTTTTTTCGCACTAGCAACTCTATTGGCACCTGCCCTCCAACTGAAATTGAATTCTAGATCATGAAAGCAAGCTATTAGTCCAAAAAATTCTCTGTCCTTTGTCCTGAATGAAAAGTGCTCACACCATCTTAGGATATGGAAAGATGTATTGAAAATTGCTGACATTAGTGCTTGGATCATGTCATGTTCCTGCTCTTTCCATATTCCCCCTGATGCGCACACACACACACACACACACACACACACACACACAGACCCACCATTACTACTGTATTGTTGTGCCACTACCCCTAATAGCTCTTCCAGGAGATAGACACATCACAGTTTCATAACCACAGCTACACACACACACACACACACACACACACTTTGGGCGCATGCAGATTGACAGCTAGTCCCCAGGCCACCGCTGCCACGCATGATTGATGGCAATGTTCCGTGGAGAATGCGCACGCGGTGGTGATTCGGGAAGTGGCACAGTTTAGGTGACGGTGTTGTGTGTTGGGGAGAACGGAGTGTACAGGAGGAGCGGAGATGTTACAGGGCTGTCAGTCATCGGGATAGACAGACAGAGAAAGAAAATACACTTGGAGGGAAAGAAGAAGAGTCCTTAATTAAACTTAAGGGAAGAAGGGGAACTGCTCAGGTTTACGTAAAAGAGGGCTCTGAAATCGAAACTCTTAAAGCTGGGGTACCTAACTTTTAATCCACAAACAAATTAAGCTTGTAATAAAATCCCTCTCACTAGTCCCCCTAAAACATTTTCCTTCTATCACTAGTAGGAATGCCGGATTATGGAAAAACATCTGTTTGTGATATTAATGACCAACATGGTGATTGAAATTCTGTGTGTTTAAAGGTGATGTCTTCAATTTCAATTAGATTGTTTTTTTTTTAAATACATATGTTTGACCATACGACCCTGTAGTATCAACTATAGTATTTTTCATAATGATTTAATTCAAAATAGTCTCCTCTTGGATTTTCTGGAGGAGAGTAGTTAGACCAATGGTGGGGAGCCTCAGCCGTCTATCAAGGATTTGAATTAATTGCGTCCAATCAAGAACCTGTGGGGGCGGGTGTAGTTTGGTAACGTAACTGACCGCTTTAAAGGAATAGTTCACCGTTTTTACATACTGACATATGTTCTTACCTTACCTTAGACTAGTTAATATGTACCTGTCTGGTCCGCGCACTAACTTCTCTCCGTACTACAAGTCACGCTGCTTCTATTGACGGAAGTGAGCGAGAGAGAAGTCTCCGGAGAGAAGTTAGTGCGCGGACGTAGCGCTCCTCAGATTACTACGCCTCACAATATAGTACCCGTTTTATCCGCTGAGAAAATCGACTGTTACATTTCTGTGTTACTATACTTTGCAGTGTAACACGTCACGTAACTATATACATTTAATAGGGAACACTTGGAAGAGTTTGGTAGCTTCTAGCGGGAGCTATCTTTTGGTCCTACACAGTATACAGAGGAGGCTGCGTTTGTGCTCCCGTTTTTGCTCCGTTTGCATGACAGAGCGCACGGACTAAGACCAGACAGGTACGTATTAACTAGTCTAAGGATAGTCTAAGTCTAACATATGTCAGTATGTAAAAACGGTGAACTATTCCTTTAAAGCTAGAATTTTGTACAGAGTAAAAATAAAAACTTCAAGAGGGAAACTTTTGAATAAGCATACAAATGAATACACAATGACCACACTTTCCAGAATATATATAACCATGTTATTTTGTAGTAGTAGTGTTACATTTATAAAAACACATGCATAAAGTAATTTTGTATATTTTCTCACGAAACTTTTCAGACCTGACTTGTGCAGCACATTTTGACAAGTTATTTAAATGTATGTCCCTTTGGAATGAGAAAATAATGCTTCAGCCTGACATCAAGACAAAAGATTCAAAATAAACTCAAACCTAGAGACGTTTTCCAAATGTCAAATTATATGTATTTCATCTGTAGTCTTTTTGCAAAGAATAAAACAATAGCGACCACAGAAATTAAAATTTCAATTTGATTGTGATCTTTTGGCCAGACGGATAATCTAATTGTAAAGAAAAACCAACAACCCCTGGAAACACAACATCTGATGAAGAATAGATGTGTTAAATATATGTTTGTCTAACAATTTGCCCACCCACTTTAGTCTAATACCAGTATGCTCTGTGCCCCACATATTGTAATGAAACACTTAATTAGCATTTCAGTGGGATTGTACAGCGTTCCCTTTCATTACATAGCATTTCCTCACTGCATCTATTATTGCAGCGTCTGGACCACAAGGCAAAACACTCCAACTGGCATTCCACGATAACTGGCATCGAATTATTTTTGCTCTCCTTGCTTAAGGGACTTTTTCACTCATGCTGAAACTTGCTGGTAACAGAATTTATAACATGATTTAAAGTTAAATTCACTCAATATTTGTTATTTCCAAATAGGTCAAACTAGTATCAGAACGAGGAGAATGTTTGCGGGAGAAGTTTGGAAGTTTTATAAATTTTTCTATCTATTTTGCCATTCACCGTTTGACACCAATTATCGCTTACTGCTTATTATGCAACTCGATGAAGCAGGTGCAAAACAAAACTTTGAACTTACTCACTCTACATTATTTGAGCTTGAACGGTATTATTGTGTTACGATGATTTGTTTTGTGGCAATTAAGAGGTTCTCAAAATGCGTTTTTTTTCACACGTTTATGCACAAAGAAAACGGGTGATAGCTTAGGCACATTTCGGTGGAGTAGGTTCTCTGCATATCTGGCAACTGTGAGGCGTGTGGATAGTAATTTTCTCTACAAAAATTAAACAACAATATTAACAATTTAGAAATAATGACCAACAGTAAATAATCATGTCCAAGAAATGTGAAATGTGAACTCAACATACACTCCTTAGTTGAAACGTTTCTTGTGCGGTACAGTGGTTATCAACATTTTCTGAAATCTTTTCCTGTATTTACATCTAGTATTGATTTCAACTGTCCTCTGTCTCTTGTAAAGTGCTAAGGTTTCGGCTTTTGTCCATTTCACATCACATTTTTGAAAAAACTCTGCCGCCTAAAGGGTTAAATCCGGCTGAATTGTCTGCTAGATGCTTCGGTGCAGAAAGTGGCTTTCACATTTGATGTTTCACTGTCTTCTTGAGAATCGATATTGAACTTTAGTCCACTGATCCCAGGCTCGTCAAAAATCCTCCGTAAACCAAAACAACAGCTCTGTGTTCTTTGAGTTCAACAACATCCTCTTTCTGAGAAGCTAATGCCTGTGTCTTTTCTTTTAAGACTTTCGACCCCCTGTGATGCCCCCAAACCGAGGAGGAGGAGGCTCTTCTTCCACCAGCCGCACAACTACCCGTGTACCCCCTTACTTCACAACGCCCAGGCCGCTGTTGACCACCTCTCCAGGGCAGCGCTACCGGACCACCACTACCATACGCTCGCCCAAGCTTATCCCAGCAGGGGGCTCATCCTCTGACAGCAACCAGATTCCAGATATAAATCAAAAAGTCCCAGGGCGCTCGCCTGCCGTCGTGGTTCCACCTCTGGCTGTCCCCCAGCCTCCCATTATGCCCCCCCAGGACTTCTGCACTCCCCGGATCACCGCAGACATATCCTGGCCACGTACCCAGCAGGGTCAGCTTGCCAAGCAGCCGTGTCCGGTGGGGACCCTGGGTAAGGTCACAAACAAGTCATATTATGGTTGAAGTTATTTTGTTGTATTGGGTTGTGGATGTTGTGTTTATTCATGTTATTATGTGTGGATGGATGTTTGTATTAGGGCCGGGACTTTAACGCGTTAATTAAGATTAATTAACGATTGCGTTAATTGTTATAGAATTTTATACCCCATGAAGGAGAAAACTCAAAGGTCCTTTGTCTGATCAAAAGCGTAAGTTTATTGTTAACGCACAGTGCGGAGAGCCAGCACATACACTCCAAAAGCAGCATGTCCCAGCTCTGGGGGCCAGAGCCCCGAGCTTCCTGTATACAAGACACACACCAAAGATAGTCACGCCCACAACGAAGCGGAGGGGGCCACCGGTGAGGAGGCGCACAGGAAGCGCCGGCGCTATCCCCTGTGGTGGCAGTGGCATGGGGTGTGGGATGAGAACAGACAGACAATGGTGGAAATGCAGGTCATACAGATGCAAGACGGAAAGACACAAGGGTGTGACAGACAGCAGGGACCTTCACAAAGCTCAGCATGGCGTCAGAAGGTCGTCTGCATTGATAAAAGGCCTTTGACGTCCGTGTATTTGCTGCGGCTGGTTTTAATGTAATTACTCCAAAAACTGTCACCACACTCCCCTCTTTTGATAATTCAAAACCATTTTTGCATTAATCAGTTAAATACCAGAGGCATCGTAATCACACCACCTTCAAGCTTGAAGCACTTAAATTATTGCTGTCCAAAGTGGACAAGAAAAGACACATGCTTGTCAATAAAAGAAAGAGCACATTATAATAACACAATGCGATTAATTGTGATTAATTAATTACAAATCCTCTAATTAATCCTCTAATTAATTAGATTAATTTTTCTAATCGAGTCCCAGCCGTTATGTATACATATATGTATTTATTCCCTTATTTGATTAAACAACACAAATTAATTAACACATATATACAAGTTTTACATAAATTGTAAATGGACCAGATTGTAGCAAAACGGCTAATTTGCATCTGTAGTCTCGAGGCAGGTCACACATTTACTGTAAGATTCAGTAAGAACTCACATTCAAGTTCACAGTCCTTCAGATATAAAAAGTAGGAGGTCAGATCTGTGTAAAAGCAAGTCCCATTGCCCTGGGGGGTCTTGTGGGGACAAAACACATTGCTAAGTATCTGCCTTTCAAAAGGAATTTTAACTTTACAGTTAGATAGATAGATAACTTTATATGCAGACTCGAGTGTCCTAAACCATTTATTTCTGCATTTAAAGAGTCACCTGTGTTTTAATATTGAAATTAGACTGTAAGTGAATGTAGTGGATTTAGTATGCACTGATTGTTAGGCATATATCTATAATTTCTATAATAATTTGTTGGGCAAAACTTCATATGTATTTTTGAAAGTAACACACATTTTTGAATATATAACCCAGCAGTGTCATCTTATTTAAGCATGTTAATGACAAATGTTTTATAAATACAGCTCTATTCGTTGGCATTTCCATCCACCCTTTAAGAATTTAAGTACTCCTTCTTTGCATTGTACTGATGAATGCATTGGTACAGCTGTCTAAGAATAAGATAAACATTTTGAATGTACCAGTATTTTTTTTTTATTACAAATTCAGTGAGACATTTAGTTGTAAACATTTTATTTTTGTGGTTGATGCTGATTGACAGCTGTCTGATTGTCTTTGCTGTCTGCTGGTCTTGCAGGCGTGGCTACATACATGTGCATGTCCCATTTGGGCTTCTGGGATCCTCGAGGGCCGGACCTCAGCAACTGCACGTCGCCCTGGGTCAATCACATCATGCAGAAAGTAAGTAGCAGAAGAAGACGAAGAAGCAGAGTTTAAGGCTACATGTTGTATGGATACAGTCCCCGAGCTGCTTTGCCACGCATGAAGACACATTGACCACAGGGAAAGATTTAGGCCACCTATCCATTCTCGGCTTGTTAGCCTAAACTCACATGGAGAGACTGTATTTAGCCACTGGGAGTTGGAAAATAAGGTCATTGTTAACCGCCATAATAGGATCATAGATGGATGTTCTCCCAGTGATATAATGTTATTCAAAGCACAGTGGAGGAGTTTCTTTTTAACCCATAACCCATATAGGAGACATGGAAAAATGCCAATCATGAAGAGCTCTATCTCAGGAAAGGCCAGTTGCAGAGTGAAAGTCTTAGCATCCAGGTTTGAGACATGTTTTAGTGCTGCGATGATATTAATATTTTAAAATGCTTTACTTACCACTTTATGTAGCACTTTTCATGAACAAAATAGTTTCCACCTGTATGTAAAGGGGTAAGCAGTGAAATAAAGCAGAAAACCCGCAGACAACGCTTGAATATTTAAAACAATAAAACCAGAGAAAACAAATAATCAACTTTTTGTATAGCACAATTTGCGTACAAGGCAAACCAAAGTGCTTCACAAGACCAAGTAAAATTGATCAAAATGCTAAAAGTTTAGAATGAGAAAAAAAAATGTCTAATTTATGTCATTAAAAACACAGCTAGACGGCTCAATGCTCAAGGTCCAACTTTTGTACGACAGTTACCGTATGTTACTATACTTGATTTGGAAAGAATTTGATACTATTCTACTAATTATATGTAAAATATATTGTGGTTTTTTTTTTTTTTTCAATCAGTTTCCATAAAAAAGCTGGTTGATTATTGTCAGTGCATCACAATGTTGGTTAACCCTACAATGTTATTTCTTTCACATTAATGAATAGTCAATCCTAAACAACATCTTCACATTTGTGACAATTATACTAATGAATGTAATTGTATATTTTGACTGTTTTTCTCTCCGCTTTGCTCCTGCTTAATCCAAATGCACTATTAGTGTCCTATTATAAGTGTGAACACAGCCTTAAAATTGGGTCCAATATTTTTAAATGTGTATCTTTGCACAATACTGTAAGTTATTTTTCCTCAGAGCTTTTGGTTGGAGTTATTCTTCTTTTGAACATAGTGGATCCAATTTGGGCTCAGAATGCAGCACAATGTTGGGGGTTTTGGCTGTGTGTAAGATGGAGTAGGATGAGAGAAAAGGGCAGTGCGGAGTAAGTTTCTGTAAAATGTTCTTACATGTTTTTGTGAAAGCACATAAGCCCCTGGAATACCCACAATGCATGCTCTGTATCTGGAGCAGTAATTCACTTATACGCTTTTTTCCTTGCCTCAGACGTCTTTTCATTTCTTCATTCACCGTGCTGCCCTTTTCTTCTGTTCTTGTCCTTTCATCTTTGCATCTGTCTATCTCCTTTTTTTTTACTTCGCTCAGTAACTTCAAACTCACCTTCAAACTTCCACCTCACCTCATCTGACATTTGTAACATTTCTGACCATTTGCAGCTCCACTCAGGCAAGATGGCTGCCGTAGTGGTCAGGCTGAATGTGTGCGTGTTATCACCTTGCTAAATGATTTGTGGAGGCAAATTTGAATTAGAGCACATCTCCAAACTATTTAAACTGAGAAATTCAAGTCTCAAAACTCAAGTGTTTTGAGATATGTAAAATGCAAGCTGCAAAATATTACATACTTATTGCTCTTATTACTATGAAATCAAATTCATTGAATACCTTGTTCTCGTGCTTTTCACAAACATGGCTGGAGAGTTTTGCACAACAATTTAAATGATATGTTTATTGTTATTTGATTAATAATTTATTGACAGCAACCGCACCGTGAATAAATGTACCAGATAATCTGTGGTACACATTTTCACAAATACTGAAGCACCTTGTAAAATAATTTCTGTGAGGGGAGCTCTTGCTTACTTTTTGTATTACAGCTCAAACCAGTAATAACAAATCACCTCACAAAAAGCTGTCTTCATCTTAGAAAACATGTTATTCTTTGCATTTGTGCAAGAAAGAGTCGGTTATTCACTGGTCTGAAAGATAGATAGAGATAGCTGTGAGAGTGTTTTCTCTTTTTCCTTTTTTCATTCTGAAAACGCAGATCTAAAGATGCGATAGAGGAACTTGTTGAAATGGAAATTATAACATCATACTTTGTTTATGGTTTGACAATTAGGTACTCCAGCTTTAACGTCATCCACATTATTTCCAAATCATGCATGAATCTGAAGTGTTACTCGAGTCAAGTAGCTGAAAATCACCTCTGCAAAAATGCGTCTAACTTTGTTTTTTGGCCTTATTTCACCTTGACTGTTTCCCAGCTGCGCTCGGGTGAGACAGCTGCCATCGTGGCCCGAGAGCTGGCAGAACAAACCAAAGGACTGCTGCGGCCTGGAGACGTGCCCTCCACAGTGAGAGCCATGGCGCAGCTTGTCGAACTACTGGACGTCCAGCTCAGGAACCTGACCCCCGGGGGCAAGGACAGCGCCGCCCGCAGTCTCACTAAGGTAATGCGAGGTGGATGGGTCAGTGTGTGTAGCCATAGCTGCACTTGACGAATAGAGATGGGCACACCAAAACAATTACATTTAATAGGATCAAAGAGTACTGAAGACATTACAAGACATTAGGGCTGCGTTGGAAAAAATTCACTTCTGATCAACATTCTGGTTGCGATGCAATTTTCAATGTTATTGTATGTTTAAAAATAACATTTTCATGAGAGGAAAACATTTCCAATATATATACATAGATATTTACACTCTTGAACATTGTTATAGTCTGAGTTGTGACTGTTTTCAAAGGAGAAAATAATGCACAACAAGAAGAGCAAAAGATACTTGCTTTGTACTGTACATTACAAATTATGCTTTAATCAGAACTTGAATAGTTGTAGTTTTTCCAATCTGTTTATTGCCAGCACAGTTTTTGTGCTTTAATCTTGCAACCCTAGAAAACACGTGTACTTTTCCCCAGAACGTTTCTAACTTCACTGAGTGTGAGACTATAAACACCTTATGGTTCAGTTGTAACTTGATTTTAATAAAGATGCAGACCCAGTCCTTTGTAATTGTCAAGAGCGTGTGGTATTTGCACTGATATTGTCCGTTGGTCTCTACAGTGTATACAGTGAGAACAATACATTCCTCTCTCATTCTCTTCTCTTGCCGGTTCCTTTCTACGAGCAGTGAATGAATAACACAAACAATCTATCTGTGTTGACCAAATGACCTGTAAAGGCTGAATTAGTAGAAAAGCGCTCTCCAGAAAACAAACAATCCTCTCTACTCCAGTAACGACCCAATTATGTATATGTAATTGAGTAATATGCTTATAGGCTTCTTGTGTACTGTAGTGGCACAGTAATGACAAGCTTCAATTCACTAGATTCTGAAAGATAGGGCCGAGAGTCAATGAGACAGGACATTTTGAAAACAATCTGTGGAACGTTGCAGGATACTGTTGTGTTAGGAAGATTGCAAGTGAGACGAATAACAATATCTTCAGCAGGATTTGTGAAATGTTAATGAGTTGAGTGCCTTTGAAAGGTGCTCCTGTGCTAACGGACGCAATTTTCTGAATTTTCAGCTTCAGAAGAGAGAAAGGTCCTGCAGGTTTTTCACACAGGTACTTCCACTTCCTGGTACCCTTGATTACTTTTGCCATCATATGCTCCCACATTTCTTTTGTTATAATATTTTTTACTCAGCATGCGAGCTGCCAAAGCTGTGTGCGTGTGATCACACATTGAGATGCTATTTGTAGCAAGCAGAAGTGGCTGCTTTTATTTTATGATTTGCAGTTCCAACCCTTTGAGGAGAATGACTTGTGACTATTGAGCTGACTGTTACACCTTAATCTTCTCCTGCTTGGACTATTGTGATTGCTTCCACTAAGCCCAAACTCTATTTTGCTACTATTTAACACAAAGCTAAAATGCAAGGGCTAATGTAAATTAAAAAAAAAAAACCTGCAAACTTCATTTGCACTAACCAATTTTGTAAAATTAAATGTACCTACTCATAGGCGTGAAATTCAAACTATCATATGAGAGAAATTTAGCATCTGTTTCTGAACCACCCCTTCCCCTTTCCAACTGCCACACTCATGTATAATGAAGTCTCCTCAAAGGGTGTTTTTTCTACCAATATTGTTTTGCTTTCTTTTGCATTTTGAATCAATGGCGCTGATAAGCCATGATCAATATCCATGATAGCTCATCTGTGTTGGGGTTGTTGTGTGCAGAAAACAGGCCATGCTTGAGCCTCGTTATCCATCTCCATCCTCTGGGCCGTCCTCTCTGTGGCCTCTCAGGGAGACGGCTGAGTGTGATGGATATTCGGCCCTGGCTTTGGCCCCATCACTGCTGCAATGCTTTTAAAAATAATACCTGCTTGCGCTTTTTCGCTTATTGTTTATATGTTGTCCTCTATGTTGTCTGTGCATGATGAACTTGGCAAACATACACTATATATGTTCTATTTATGACTTTTACATAATTGGCTCAGGACTATTCATCTTTGTAAAATGTGGGATATACCTAACCTTGATAAATAACACATTATGTATGTCCCAACAAAAAGAAGAAATTCCATCAAAACATACTGTCTTCATTAATTCATTGATTGATTGATTGATAGCTTATTCATATGACACGCACAGTACAGCGCAGTCGTTTAAATGCCTTTTGATGGAGGACATCAAGGATACAGTGTGACGTCGGGCGCACACCTCATGAGAAAACATGTCAGATTTTGCATATTTGTAAGGAAGAGCCCTGGGAGTTACTATGTCATGCTTTGGGCTGAGAGAGTGCGAGTGGTAGTCTCTTTTTCACAGTTCAGTCTCAAAAAATTATGTGACAGTGGCCAAAATTACATGCATGTAAAAACAAGTGATAGAACCAAACTGTTTTGAGAGCAAGAGCTGATGGATTTTAATGTATTATTATATATTTTGTGATTTGTGGTCATGTACTCTTGCTTGTTGTCTAAAATGTCTATAGGTATGTAAATATATCAACTATATTTTAATAAATGAAAAATACATCGCAGGTCTTTCTCCCTGCACACACACACTGTGATGGTCTTGCTCTTTTTCTCCTGATGCAGGCTTTTTTCCACTCTCCCTGGAAAAATCTGAACATCAGCACAAGTCAGCAATGTCGCATCATACCACATGGCTTAGGACAATATGCAAGCCGACACACAAACACACACCATGTTATTTACATATACATACATACATTGAGTTTTATCTACTGATCTAATCATATTTGCACATCCAGACATCCCCAGTGGATATAACACAAATATCAAGAGAACCGTGTTTAAGAAAGTATTTTATTTTTCTTATTTTTTTATTGTACATAGGGTCATCATTTTCAACTATGGATACAAGTTTATCCCCTTTTCAATTTGAGAATGCACCATAATGTTGGAGAAAATAAGTGCTGTTTCGTATCCACCAATCATTATGTTTCCTTTTTTATATATAATTTATTCATATTTAAAAATGTATTGCACTTACTCAGTTACCACTAGCATATAAATTACCGCTTGATTAGAGTGTTATAGTTAATATCAATATCATACACACTGAATTTCAAGTATTCTAATTAATTCTCTAATGTTTTTATTTAAATTAACTGTCAGAGTATTTTATTATTGCCTTTCTTTACAACATACGTTCCAAACCAAGTCGTGGTTGTTGCCCCACATCTAGGATTCTTCAGGGGGGCTGGGAATGATCGATTATGTAATTAGCCTTTAGTAATGTGAAACAAAATTATAGCAACAGTGCCTGAGTGTGTCGGATAGAAATGTGCGTGATTAGGGCTGTGGCGTGGCGTTGGCCTCTCCTCGTTAATTATCCACTGCACTAATTGCCAAGTGAGGAGAGTGGGATGGAGGTTTGGGTTCATAATAGAGACACACACAAAAAGTAATTGAATTTCTCTTTTTATATTTCTGGTCTTCTTCTGCTGTTTCCGCTCCTCCATCTCCTCCCTGCTCTTCCCTCCATCTACAATCGTTTGGGGAATTGGGGACTCGTTTCATGTATACTAAATTGGCAATTTATTCATGATGAAGTTGTGGTGTAGAGAGGCTTTGATGCTGTAGGCTGACTTAGGTAGGGGGATGATGGAGAGGGAGGGGGCCGAAGCTGTGGAGGTTTACTGGGAAACATGGAAACCACAGTTAATGAGCAAAACCAACTGCTCAGCTCAAGTCTAGGTTAGCACGGGAAATTTAATAATCATAGGGCACTTTTTTTTTTTTCTGTCGGATCTTACTAAGATAACCCACACTTTTATAACATTGTAGAGCATTGAGATTGTATATATTGTAGTGAGATTTATACATACATCTCAATACAAAGCAATTATCTAATGGAATTAAACAAATATCCAATTAAAGTACATTTTGACTTTAAATATATTATCAATTACATTACCAGTTACTTAAAAAAGGATCATAAAAAGGAACATATCTCTAATTAGTTGTTTTTGTAACGAGTACTGATGGTTATTCTCCTTCTGAAAATGTCAAACAGAGAAGAGCACAGACTATTGTAAATCATTGCTTCTTCAACATAGGATTCCTCATAAGACACGACCGTCTTAGCATAAGATAAGAACATACAGTAGTTGCCTTGAGCCGATCTATGCAATTGAACGAATAAGTCACAAGGCTATTTTTCATCCGTTGTCCCTGGGCAGCTTTAAAATGTCAACCTAAATCCAGAAATTGTAAAAAAAAAAAAAAAAAAAAAAAAGAAAAGATATTCAATAATGAAGCCAACAAAAACAAACACATATGCAAACACTTATATACAAAATGTCAAAAATAAAATATTGGCCTACATTCACCACATGCAAACAGTTAAAAGTTGACATGTCTGTTTTGTGATGAACCATGATTTAAGATGGGGGTTAAGAACATGACATGCTGTGAATTTAGAGGTCGATTTCCTCTCAACTGGAGACAAATAAAACTACCACATGTAATATGCATTTTCACACACTTTCACCTACCTATCCCGCCCGTGTCCACATATACTGTACTGTGGAGCGATGGACCCTTGTGTGGTTGGGAGCAGCAGAGGCGCCCAGTCTGTCTCTCCACTGCTGTTTACGCTGGATTACCCCGACGCTTCAAAGCATTTCTCTTCTGCCCCATTTACTGGTATATGTGCGCTCAGCATCCCCACATCCCCTACAATACGCACTTTTGCACAAACCTTATCTGTCTCTCCAGAGTTTTGCTTCTATTTGAAAATACCACTAAAAACAGTCTGCGGTTCCCCCCAGAGCCCTCATAGTCTCTCTCTGATAGAAATGTCACCAATGGCACCAGCGATCTCAGTCACCCCCCAAAACATATATATTCAAACTTTACCGATTTGAAAGATGTCTGCACCTTCAGGAAATGCTCTCTCCTTCTTCTACCCTGCACCTATCTCCAAAGAGACAATCACAGCTGAATTAAAATGAATTGAAAAATCACAAGAAATTGAAGTCTGATGGGTGGGTGACGGATAATGTGGGGGTGAACATTTTTAGGTCTTTGCAACCAGCGGAACGAGGGACAGTATACTAATTCTGCGCCTGTTTGTTCATGCTGCACAAATGTGAAGATATTATATATGATGATGGACATCATCATATATGATGTCCATCATAGTCGAAGGGTTCGAATCCCGGTCAGACCAGCGCCTTTCTGAATGGAGTTTGCATGTTCTCCCCTTGTCTGCGTAGGTTTCCTCCGGGTACTCCGGTTTCTCCTACCACTAAAAATATGTACAATAGGTCTGGCATGCGCCTCCTGTACTGGCGACCCCGCTCCCATCTCTGTGTGGAGTGGGAGACAAATGCCCAAAAATAACAATTGTAAACCGCTTTGTGACTCTGGTCTGTGAAAGGCGGTATATACTGTAGGTAAAGATTACTTACTTACTTACTTACTTACATTTGATGGGAAAAGAATACACAAGATAATTGTAAGTTTAATAAGACTGGAAAATCTTGCGGGTTATCTGGATGGCATCAAAGTCAGTGTCCTGGGAACAGAGGAGGCAGTATATGGGAGTGCCACTGCTGTCATATCTTCTTTGGCCTGCAGAGACTAGAACTATCTCACTCCCTACGCCTGCCCTTGTCTCTCACTCACCCAGCCTGCTACAGTATAACAAGTAGAGCAGAATGATGCCTCTCCCGGCCCCTCATGCGCTCACTCTCACGCCCACACACACACATATCCACACACCCATAGGAGGAACACAATACACAACACATGCATCATTGACATAAATGGAGAGGAGTGGAAGCCATACCTGCCAGTATAGCAGTATATAAGACATCTATATGAGAGCTGGGAAAAGGTTTATGTTTTATTAGTCCTCTCCCTATAGAAGGCATGTCCACTGCATGGCTCAAGGGCTATGTGTGACCCCATGTCAGATTTTGGCTTGGAGCTGAAAATTATATGACCAGCTGCCATAGACCGCAGAGAAGGAGTGAACAAACGCTGATGTCAGTCATAGTGTCGCCGTTAAATGTGGAATATTCTGATTAGAGCTAATTCAAAGACCAAAGAGCCAATCAGGAGAGGTGCTAGTCTGCTCTTGCTTGGGTAGCTGCTTGCGAACCTGAATTTGGGTCCAGGAGACTCCTGATTGGTCAGTTGTTTGGGAATGTGTGTTGATTTACAAAGAATCAATTATCAAAATATAAACACCAGGATCATACAGGATACATGATTAGGTCCAAAATGATGAGTGTGACACAAGCGGCAGTGGAGATGTAAGGTGCAATTAAAATAAAATGTATTGCACGGGAAAACTTTGCCCTTGAGCCCTTCCTTATTATACTTAATTGAGCTAGTGGATTAACATTGTTCATTCCTAACCTCCTTGTATATGCCAGCTACCCATGATTGTTTTATGAACATCAGCATGTATGGCAATATACAATAAAACTTTATAGTGGCCTATTAGATTAGATTATATTAGATTAAAATCCAATAGTTACAACTAAAATTGTAATAGAAGAGCGTTTTTTGTTCCATCACAGGTTTCTATTCACTGGAGACAGATAAACAATAATCAAATCCTGTTGTACGGAACAGTCACTGGGGAGTGCATTTTGCGACATTCTGCCCTGAAGGTGTGGCTAATCAACCGCAACGTCAACCTTACTATTATTGATTTCAAACATAATTTCAACCAACCATCAAATAGTCTGAGTTGAACCAGCGACAAAGGAAAATCACCAAAGCGTTTAAATTATAATAATGTAAGAGAAAAGTCGCAAATCCGCATGTTTAGGAAGCCAGAACGGACCCATTTCTGTCTCATTGTCCCCTGACACACAACTGAATACATTTACAAAAAAATGCGTCAAAGTTTCCAGTCTTCACACAGAATGTATTTTCTTTGCTCTTGTTTGCTAATCAAACCACTTGTGCTCATTTATTTGTTGTGTATGCACTAGTTCTAACTGTGTTGTGCTAATAATTACTATAATTGATAGGGGAAACCAAATCTTTTTTTATACTTGATAAAACACGGGAGACACATTTCCTGACATGCGTGTGCTCCCCTCCTGCTTTTCCTGGTTTGTTTGCTGAAGCAGTAGATTAATTAGTTTTTGTTTACATGTAGCCTTCCCAAACTCATTGGATATGCATTCTGGCTAATTAGCTGCTAGCACTAAAAGAGGCCATCATATCAGTTGGATAAGCTTGTTGGATAAGCACTCATTTCATGTATGCTGGTATTTAGGCGTGTGGGTTGATATTTCCTCAAAATAAACAGGTTGGGATTAATTTGTTCATTTCCTGGGTCAATTTGAGCGTTTTGTCATTCATACCATGACATAAGCTATATGAGTCATTGCTGACAACGTAGATGCACCATGTTTGTTCCCTGAAGTGAAAAGAGCCATGCAAAGTCAACCCATCTTTGAGTATGGGCCAAATTAACATCACTTCCAAGTCTCTGCCATACTCCATACTTCCATATGGGAAAGGTAAGATGGAGGATCTTACCTTTCCCATATGGAAGAGTTTTGTCGTTCTAATGGCGGGGCATCTGTGTTTTGTTTCTCTTTTTTCTCTTAAACTCCTGAGAGCAGTTGATAAGTGAAGAATGGCTTTTGGGGAGGTATCTTTTGAGAAGAAAAAAATAAAGAAATGGACAGGACTGTGAGATGTGTGTGTTGATAGCAGCTGGATTTCCACCTCTCTTGGTCCCAGTGGACTCCTGTCACCACAGACTCACTGTGGAATCTTATCAGCCTCAGTGCGTGCTAACCCTCAAATCAGCTTTTGCTGGGTTTTTATCTGTTGCTCCTCAAAAACAGTTTGTTTAAAATCTGTCCCAGGGTTTAAAAGTGCATAAAGAAATATGAGCAGTAGACAAAACAATGTAATGTTCTGAGAATATTTCAGCAGTGCAAGCCAACTTCCCTGCTCTGTAATATTCCTGGATTTGGAAATGTTCTGCATGGCTGAGTGTGACCCAGAAGACATTATCAGATAAAACTCTAATTTCTTCCCAGACCCTCGAGCACAAGTTTTGCCTACTCAAAGATAAGGCACAAAAAGAGAGGAGAACCAGATTTTGGGGGTGTAGACACATTGTGATTGCAATCAACTAATTAGCAGAGCTTGATTTTGGAGGATCTGTGGGAGAATTTCTATTTCACAACAAAGTTGTCATTACATTAACATGTATCAGAGAGCCTACAGGAAAATGTATGGTCGATGAGGCTTCCAGGCAGAGTGGATAGCACTCTTACTTCACAGCAAGACGGTCCTGGGTTTGAATCCTAGTCGGAACAGGGTCTTTCTGAGTGGAGTTTGCTCCGATGTCCCCTACCATAAAAACATGCACAATAGGTAAATCCTCCACAGGATGCCACAGGACTAAATCAAAGGATGAGTTGCCCTACAGGGATAAATAAAGTGCACATTTACCTTTACCTTTTGAACACAATAAATACATAGAAATTACAGATGATCTACATTGTACAGTTTGCATGGGAATGTTGTGTGTGCATCACTAACATTTGTGTTATCAATGTTTATCATTATAAATGGTGTGTATTTTTGCTGGTTTATCCCATTACTCCTGCTGAGGAGTAATGACATCACTATGACTGTATTTCACACATGTTAGCAGCAGTGACTCAGGCAAATACAGATGATGAGAATCTGACCAGTGTTTATGCATTTGCTGTAGGCCATGGTGGAGACAGTGAATAATCTACTGCAGCCCCGAGCCCAGGCGGCATGGAGAGAGCTCCCTACCAGTGAGCAGCTGCACTCAGCCACGCTGCTCCTCGACACTGTGGAGACTGGTGCTTTCATGTTAGCTGACAATCTACTCAAGACTGACACTGTGCAGGAGACCACTGACAACATCCGTGAGTACTTTTTCACGATCTCTGTGTGGATGATTCTTAGCCTTTTCTGTAAACTCAGCTAGACGCCCCAACTGTCAGGAAACCTGTTGAGATGCCCTCAAGCATGGCACTTAACATCCATCTGCTGTGGAGGTGCTGCACAGCCCAAAGTGTGAAAGACGGAGGCTCAAACTATGCTGGAACACACAATATTTTGAAGGCAGTTGCTGAATACAAAGTTCACCACAGGTATAGAGAGAGCTTTCTTAGATTTCATAGGGCTTTTGGTCTGAACAGACTTTTTACAGCTTAAACCATGTGGATGCTGCTAAAGAACTAAGATTATGATGCAACTACGCAGCAAGAACTATTTTGACATGAGCCTTATATTTTCAGCACCTCAGATCTTAGTAGAAAGTACTATTTCGCAATAACCCAAATCAATATACGTTCATTTGTTTAATAGTTGTATGCATTGAAAAATACTACGCAGGCGTGAGAATAGACCATGCGTAATAACATTTATGTATTCAGTTCAGCGTTTCTGAGGAATATTGAAAAATAATATGTCATAAGAAAAAGACATTAGCGAGACGTCAGAAATATCTCTACAATATTCCGACCAGTAATGATTATGTGTTACCACAGAGGGCCCCAGTCTGCCAAACGCCAAGAGAAGGTAATTAAGAAAATCAATATCGTATGAAAAATAATTTGTGTGGAGTTTAATTGAAATACTTTAAATGCAAGTTTAATAACACAGGTTCCCTAACACAATGATTCGCCTGCCACTTGCAATATGACCGACTACTGCATGTGAGATGGTGTGCGGTGAGCTAACAGTGTTTCTCAACATTTAGTTATAAAGCACAGTTCATACAGAATGCACCCCAAAAGGCATTTCAAATTGTAATAGTTTTTTCTAGGCTACCATAGAATGTTATACATAATTTTAAAGCAAACATTATCAAGAATAATTTACTAGCCATGTAAATTATTGGAATTATTGAACCCATAATGCAACAAGGAATAATACTGACATCAATCAGTTGGTAGCAAGAGGAGTATTTCATACTTTAGATCCAGTTTTGGTACAGTCCAAGCAAGTAAGTTAGTTAAAGCTGCAATACCTCACCTTATTTCAATCCATATCCATGCAATGCATTGGAATATACGTCCTTTTGTAGAATAAGTAGCACAGATTTGTGCTGGCGTGTCATTTTTTTTAGATCGAATTTCCGTGCAACAAGGAAGAGAATTTGTTTTGGGACCAGATTGTGACCAATCACAGCGGACCACTGGCCCCCGCTTTCTTGAGAAAAGCCACAGTTCTCTGTTTAGCACAGACAGCTGAGGTAAACAAGGGGCGGAGGCTAACCTGAAACTTCCCGTGTCTTCGTAACCGGTTACTGCTTACACAGTGAAACAGCCGTCCAAAGGAAAGTCTTGTTCCTCCGCGCTTCCCGGTTCTATCATTCAATGGTCACGCCATCCACATTCAAATGTGCGATCCATATTGTGAGACGCGAGCTCCGTAAACAACAGCACATGTGCGGCTGAGGGGGTAGAGGGGACAGAGAGGGAGTGAGTGCGGGGAGGGGGAGCAGAAAGAGCAAGGCCAGCGCTCACATTCTAAAATTTCACAAAGTGAGTTAGTGCAGCTTTAAGAAAAAAAAATTGAGATACATAAAAACAAGGATTGTGTAAAAAATACCTAATGTAATTCAAAAAAATATATACAAAGCATTTAGTAAATATATACAAAGCATTCAGTAAATTAAGCAGAAGCAGCATCAAGATGCAAAAAATAAGATGAATGATTGGTGTAACAGTATGGCAGAAAAAATACGTTTTGTAACGTGCCCCGGACAAAATGAATGTCGATTTTATCTAAATAACAACAAATATTTGCACCCTGTCTACACTGTCAAGGTAGACAAATGTCGTGTACAAATTCAAAGCCTTTCCCTCGCTGATGTTGTAATAACCCTTCTCTGCACAGAATGCATACTCCAGCCGCACTTGATCCATTATGTAGACTGGTCGCTGTCAAAGGGAGGTCACACTGTCGTTCCGTAGGTCTCGGTCTTGAGTGATCTTTTGAAGAGCTCAATCCACAGAGATTCACGCTCGTCAGTATCAACCTCACCGGGGAGATGGCCTTGAGTCCTCCTGTACAGCAATGAATTGTTACGTCCAATATTTTTGCTCCTCTAGAACATGTGGGCGGACCCGACAAAGCTGAACAAAGCTGGTTATTATGGCCTCGTGCACATTGCTTCTTACTCCTCATGCGTTCTCCCTCCCTGTCTTTTTTATGAATAATTTTCATCTTCTTTCATCATCGGATCATGCAGTAAGGCAGTGATAACATGTACTAGCTATGTTTTATGTGCACTGCAGACAAGCACTTCTGTCGATGCCGCGCCCTCGGCTTCTGTTTATCCCTTTGATTCCATTTCCATGTCTAAATATGCGCCATCACCCCACAGTCCCCGTTCAATGAGCTTGTTGATGGTGAGTTTTGGAGCTAGGGGAAAGATGCAACTATACTTGATGTGTAAAGTCGGAATATTGAGGGTTTTAGTGGTGGAGGGTTGTCAGAAGATGTTATCAGTCTTTTTCTCTTCAAGCAATCCAATGGAGATTTTTTGACCAAGAAAGTGGTTTGTTGAGTATTCAGACAAGTACAAAAAAAAAAAATTATGTGTGAGCCAGCCATGACATTGAAAGAAGAATGGAAAGCAGTGGGAGAATGAGCTACTGCAATGTTGATAATTTGAACTAATTTATTATTGCATGGCAAATTTAGGTATTTCAGCGGTTCGATCAATCATGGAATCGCATAACTCATAGGGCACTGTCCGGTTTCCGAAATGTGCTAAAAATAGCTCAGATGACTGCGCATGCGCGCATGTTTCGGACAAACATTGTGTACGACGCGTTGAGTGCTACTGTGTTCTCCACATACGCGTGTGTATTTACTTGGGCTAAATCATTAAATCATGGTGACAACAAAACACTGCAGTTATGGTGCTTGTCGGAGCGATTTCAGATACTCTGAAAAGGACTATCAAAGTAACATTCAACCCGTTCGTTAAACCACAACATCGGACCAGATCAGGACCAGACCAGGACCAGATCAGACCAGGACAAGTGCAAGAGGTGGGTGCTTGTGGTCGGCAGAATTTCTCTCATGAAAAGGTTAAAAAGGACACATGTTTTTTCAAAACACTTCGCTGGACCAACTGTGGAGCCTCCAGATCCAGTCCTAGCTACGTTTAGCTGGGACTGGATCTGGACCGCTGTATCTGGTCCGTCTGAGCTCTTCTGAATGTAGTTAGCACAAACTCTCTCTTTACACCATTTACCCCCATCAATCCATATTAGTATTGTTTGTCCTAATCCAGAAAGTATACAATTCTCACACCTGAAGAAAGATGAGAGGGATTTTTTTCAACTTCGTGACTATCGGAAAATAAGTTCAGACGAAGCGCGTCGGGGTCCGCTTATTATACGGCTTTGTACCAACTCAACACGCAAAATAAACGTCATTCACTATTAATGCCGAAAGGTTTATTTAATGAGTGCAAAGAAAATAGTTCCCAAAGGTTTTCCCGTGGCAGGCGAATAACAGTGAGGATAGTTAACCTACTTTAAAAAAGCGATCGCTTTAGTTGCATTAAAAAAGTATTTTTGTCATGAAAACCTGAACAGATAATTCTGAAAACCTCCGTGCACTTGTGTTATGAATGTATGTATAATGTATTCTCCCATTAACATTTAAATGTGTCGATTGATGGTCATTTGCGTTTACTGAGTGTGGCTAGCTCCGATAGTTTCTCTCTCAGAGACAGTAGTGGCGTAACCCGTTGTGACCCCATGGATCTGTTATAATATCAGCTGACTGTAGCTAACTAATGATCAAACTAATTACAAAGTGGATAGTGCAAAAAAAAAAAAACTTGATAAATGGAAGTTAATCACAGCAAAACAAACAAAGAAGGCGCTAGCATTGCAATTTAAATGACTAGATAATGTTAGCATAATCCTCACCATTATCTTTTTATCAACTCAAACTTTCTACTGGAAGACCACGACATTCAAGCCAACGTTATAATTGGTCTACACTATGATCCCTGATGGTTTGATGGTGGAATTTTGCCCCTGGTATTTCATTTTCGTCTAAAGTGACAAGTGGTATTTGATTCATTTCGGCAGTGTTTGTCCGAAACATGTGGGCGGGAGTTGACAGGCGGCGGGGGCGTGTCTTAGTGACGTCATTCAGATAGTTCGCTATTTATAAGGATACATTTAAGCATCTGAATGAGACAAACCGAAACATCAGTGGAGTCCAATTGGCGAGCTTTGAATGTTAATCCGAGATTCTTTTGCAATTTTGAAATGGCCATGAGTATGTTTTCTACTCATTTCTGATTTGACAAGATTTGACAAGATTTCTGCTTCAAACAACAACAAAAGAGGAAGATTTGAGTGAAGTTTATAGTGATAAATGTGTTTGGAGAAACGATAGAGATTTTATACTGCTTAGTTTTATGCCAGAGTGAGATATTTAATTTTGTTTTACTATAGCGTTATTGTTTATTTACCTGCTGTGTGTTCCCCATTCCTACTGCCTGTAACTTTTGATGCAACACTGAAATTTCGCAACTGTGGGACGAATAAAGAATCTCTTAATCTTAATCTTAATGTTTTAATGAAGGATAACAAAATAAATGGTTGTGTATATTTAAAGAGAGACATTTTAGTGAAAAGAGCTGCCTATCCTACACTGTGCGTATATCCCTACATAAATCCGTCTCGCTTACCCTTCAATTGATGTCCATTTCAAGTACCTTATAAATGCTGCTTCATAAACAGAGAAGTGGGCTCTCTAAAGGAACTTACAAAAAAAACTGGAAAATGTCTTTTTAGTGTGGAAATTTTCATCTCTTCGCCTTTGTACTGTTAATCTTTGCTCACAGCTAATCCAGTGGGCAGATCCAACGTGATTATCTCTCCCCTTTATTCATATTCCTCTCCATACTGCCTCTCATTTCACTTCTATCAGAATTTTACTCTCCTGCACTCAAAAAGCCTGATCTTTTTTCCTCAACCAGATGCCTTGCACAGAAAAATACATCATTTAAAAGACGTATTTTCAGAACAATTCCCTGTGTTTTATTGCATTGAGCTTGAAAAAAAAATGCTATTAATAGAATCACACAGCGGCACCGACGACATTGTGACAAAGATAATAAACGATTATGTTTCTTGGAAGGAGAATTGTCATGACATGGATGCTGTAATTAGATTAGGCCCAGCATGTTGGAGACCGCTCTGCTGGGGGGATGTTGCATTTTGTTAGTGGGGCGGGTGCGATTTTTGTTTGGATAATTTTTCTACTATTACTACCAGTTTGTAGTGATACATTCTCTGCTATTCTCGTTGCTTGGTTGCACTTCCTGGTCGTTAGAAGCAGTAATGATGAAACATCTCTCAGCAGACATCTGGACATACTCAACCATTAGGGCTGGAAAGTATTGAAAGAATTTGTCGAGAACATATATCTCATCATTTTAAATTCCAATTATCTTTCTATACATTTTTTAAACCACTCAAAAAGGGTTGCCAAAGTTATTTGATCTGTAGGTGACTGGCTATGTGTATTGAAAGTGCAGACTTGATAAACCTAATGAACTGTTTTCTCTGAAGTAAAAATTGTTCCTGAAAATGCAATAGTTTGAGAAAGAAGTGGCATCGGTCATCATGGTCAGAAAGTAACCATAGTGAAGTCGTCAACTGTGAAAGACTATCGACTCGAGCCACACATTAATAATTGTCCAACAAGTCAAGTGTGTCCAGTGCCTTAGACTCAATAGTGTCCGGACAAAGAGAAAAGTCTTTTAAGCAGCCACATCACTGAAAGATAGTTTGGGGAATTGGAAATACTTTTTTTATATATATATGAGTGTGTTCACAGTAAAGTGACAATTGAAGTATCTGGACTTTAAAAGGTTATAACTTAAAAACTAAAATTACTTTCATAGATTGGAAAAAAGATTTCAAACACAGACACATTGAAGAGATAGTGTGGAAAAAATCAAAAGGAAAGATTGACATAAAAATGTTTAGCAACATTTTAAACGACCAAATGAGCCTCTGATTGGACCATTCTACTGTGACGCCAGTTACATAGAAAATAAAATGTCCTCAGTCTGAAAAAGCAGAAGATGAAATCCCACAAGATTTACATGGTTACCACAACAGGAGGAAATCACTTGATATAAAAAGGAATCGTAAAAAAATAAAAAATAATTAATTAATTAAATGACCCCTGAAAAATGTATAACGGACGTGATGAGGACGGTCCTCTTTTCTCTAAAAATTAAACTTGAGAAGAAAAAAAATCTGGTCTGTTTTCACATTTAATTGCTTGACAATATGAAAGTATTACTTTGCATCTACTTTGTGTAAAAAAGTAGAATCTCTGAATCAAATGTGGACATCTGAAAATACCTATCAAACTTGCACAAAGCTCATTCCGTCAAATCATCACGTCCGTTACATAAAATAAACAGGGCCGCTATAGGAAACTTGTCTAATGTATAAAACAGTTATGTTCTAGCAACTTCTAATGGACAGAGGAGGTGCTTGGAAACATGAAAAACATAATATATCTTCTGATTATTAAAATCTAATTTTTGGCCTTTTGTCACACTTTTGTGCCCTTTAGTGTGAACAAGCCCATTATATATATATAAATTTGGCACTGCGTGAAAAAGTATTTTCCATGTGATCTTGAGTCAAGCATATTAAACACATATTTTATACCACAAACTAAATTGTGTCCAAATCATGAGTGATCAATAATATATATATATATATATATATATATATATATATATATATATATATATGGTGACAGAGCTTTGCTTATATCATATATATATATAACAGATATAATTTAATTATTTTTTTTAAATATATTGTATTAGTTATTACTGATTGTTACTGTTTACTGTATTAGAAATTACTTGCAACATGATTGTGTCACCTGCTTTTAATTTTCTACGGTACTTGGAATTCAAGTATTGGAATCCCAATGATCTACAGTAGATATTCAGTTTGTTTATAGCTCCATACCTGTGTATGTTTCACATCCTGTGATACAGGAGTTCAAATATTTCAATTTTCTTACAATAAGGATAATTTGTTCATATCAAAAAAAGGTTCATCTTATTAATTTGATGTATTTTCTTTTTCTCCTGGCTTTTTCTAACTTTAACTGACCTCTTTACCATCTTCCTAATTCACAAATCTCGCCTTCATGTCCTGAGCATGTCCTTGTGCTCTTTACTTGATCCTGGGGGCTCTTCATTTCACCATGAAAACAACATCTAAATCACAATATCACTTGATACCAGTATGGGAAAGGTATAATTAGACCGTAATTAGAAACTTTATCTAATGCATTACCCGTCGTAATCTGCCGTGCGCTAACGACCATGGACAGAGAAATTAGGTTCTCACAATACAAGGGAGACAGCGGATTACACAGCCTAAGGTTTCTGACAGTTGCCATGGGACGAATACTTGTCTTTTTGGTGTACTCTCATGTAAGAGGTCATTTATAAAAACAGACTGACAGAATTCATGCATGTCGCTTTGAAGCACTTGGTGGCAAAACATAGCTATTACATAGAGCCTTTCAAAACAAGCCTCTACAGAGAGTGCTTTGCAATTAGCTGACATTATCGCTGTCATGGTGTTTTTGTTTTCTCCCCTCAGAGCTTGAAGTGGCAAGGTTGAGCACCGATGGAAACCTTGCAGACCTGACGTTCCCACAATCCGAACTACACGGAAACTCCATCCAACTGTCAGCCAGCACTCTCAAGCAACACGGGCGAAATGGTAAGAGGAGAGAGAGAGAAAGCATCTCGCCTCTCTTCTCACACACAGCAGGAGATCAGTGTGTCAGGCTCACTATGTTTCTCTCACCCCTGCTCTTAGAGGCTATTTCTGGATACAAACGTTATTAGGTGTGTTGACTCACATGTGCACGTTCCACCCCACAGGAGAGATCCGGATGGCCTTTGTCCTTTATAGAAACTTGGGCCAGTACCTGTCCACGGAGAACGCCAGTGTCAGACTGAGCAGTGACGCCGTGTACCCAAACTACTCTGTGATCGTCAACTCCCCGGTCATCACCGCGTCTATTAACAAGGAGAGCAACAAAGTGTACCTGTCCGAACCCGTGGTCTTCACCGTCAAACACTTGCAGGTTAGTAATTTGACTAATATTTGTTTCAGAACCTAAGACAGACTTGTCCCCAGGTCCTAGGTCAAATGTACAAAATATATTTAACATTTTCAGAAGAAAAGTTTAAAAGAGAGTTATTCTTAATTAGTAGAAGTACAGTTAAAACAATATTTTTTTAATTTTTAATTTTAGTTTACAGTTTTCAAGAAGATTATCTGCTCTCAGAGAGCAGAATGAGGCTTTATTTTGGGTAGCCACTTTGTTATGTAAACTGTAGCTGTTTTTTCTTTTTACTAACAGAAGTTGGATTGTAATTGTAATGACTTTGTTAGACCACTAAGAGTGCATATTCCCATTCTGTTAGTTTACTTCTTTTGAAACAGATCCGTGAATAATTGTTTCCCCAAGTGGTCCAATTAAAGTAAACTAGATCAACAAGTGTGAAGTGCCCTAAACGAATGGGAGTATATATCCAATGAAGCCTGGCAACTTAATATGCAGTATCCCAATGTGGCGCCTAGAGAAAATAATTCCCCACCCCTGTGCTAATAGTTGGTCCTTTTATGGCAGATTAATGATTATACCCCCATCTTATAATATTAAATACCTCTTTAATTGTATCAAGATCGAGGTACAGTCTACATTCAGTAATTAAGGTGAGTTAAAATATATATTATTAATACATCTATAGTTTAAACCTTATTAGCAATACATTATGAATGGTTTTAAAAGCCTATTAGAGTTTTATTAATATTACCTATGGAAGGTTAAACTTTCAAATAAATCATCATCAAAATGGCAATGAAGAAATATGTAACATAGAATAACTATTTTCCCAGAATGTGAAATTGTTGATTCACTGCGCCACAAAGTGTTTCCATTCTTTCTATTATTTTTTAAAATCTCGACTGCATATGGACATATTCTCATACTCCTACACCGATGCTCACAGCAGGATTGCTATATTTTCAGAATTGTAACTTGTGTGATCAGGTTTTTAGATTGGATCAGGTCACAGACTGGATTAATAATTTATTATATGCTGCAAAATTGTGTATTGTATATGTTTTAATCAAGATGGACGCACACTTTTTAGTCCTTTGAGATCACCATCTCATTAGCTATCATAGACAGTGCTTCCTAACAAGCCTGACCAAAGTGCAAGGAAATCTTGTCACTGTCTTGCTCATTTAGTGACTAACTTTACCAGTCTGCCACGCACCACTTAGACTTTTCAGTTTACCAAACACAAGCAACTCCTACACTCGCGAAAGTCACACAACAGGCAAGCAAAGCTCTGTCACCTCCTGCCACGACTGTTTGTTTGTGATTGCCCTGTTGCATTCTGTGCCGTGGGCCTGTTGTTTTATTGGGCTTCTCCATTTATTTGTTTGCAGAATGTACTTGTAGATCAAGCAAAAGATTATGACCATGACAGTTGACGAGAGAGTTAGGAAAGTTTAATTGTATAGCTCTGTTCATCCACAAGGTGACTCAAAGTGCTGAACAAAATAAGAAAACAAATTAAAATCATACAAGGCATTGAAATCATAAATACTCATGATGCATTAAAGAGTGAAGATACTGTCCGGATTTGAACCTTGTCGGGGTAGAAGCAAATCTCAGGAATTTTTCAGAAAGACTTTTCCAAATTTTGGATGCATGAATATGAAATGCTGGCTTCCCATATTTACCATCAGGGGCACAACCAAGTGCAAACACGTCCGTATATCCTCGTTGTGGTTAACCCTTAGGAAAAGGGAATACAAGAATACAAATATTCTATAAATGTTCTATCGGACTTGTTTTGTGAAATGTATAAATTGCACTTGACAGTACACAACACAACAGTTTTGAATACTGAATAAAATATACATGAAAAAATATGTTTAAAATTTTTTAAGTTCTAGTAGTATTTATACGTAATTGTATATGGAAAGCATGTCGAAAAGCAAGTAGAATTGTGTCGCTTGTTGATGTGATGGTAAAGTATAATGGCCGACAGGGCTCAGTTCGGTAGCAGCATTGGCCTTAGAGTGAGGTTGTAGGGCGAGCCCACCATGAAAACCTTCTCCACCGACTCCCACTTGACTATTGTTGTGTCCATGGGCGAGGAACTTAATCCCACTTTTACTGAAGCCCAGAAAGATCAAGGCTTTGATGTGTACTGGTGGACTCTCACTGCTGGAGGTCCTTGAGGGCTGGTGCTCTGTAAATTGCTGATATAAAGTAGAAGTACCAAAAGTACTGTGATGACGTGTGAAGACACTACAGTGGAAAGAACGCTATTGCACCCTTTTTAACGATTGATTACTTTTTGTGGACCTTGGTGGTCCTTGAGGTTGAAGACCCACCAGAGGCTGAGGACACAGAGGCCAAAACCAGACTTTGTACACTATCTATAAACACGGAGCATGTTCTTTATTGACAATAGACAAACAGATGACGTCCTTTTCCTGCAGAATGTGGAGTCTTCAGTCGATCTTGCTCTCTATAGTGGAGTTTGCTCGTTCTCCCTGTGTCTGTGTACGTTTCCCCTGATACTAAACATTTACAGAGGTTTGGATGTGCCTCTGTAGACGAACCCCCCCCATGCTCCCATCTCTGTGTGGAGTGAGAGCCAAACACCACAACAAATTGTAAGCGCTTAGTGACTCGGGTTGGGAAAGGCGTATCTAAATAATGCTTGACTTACAATATCGAAATAAACTTTAGTGCTGTTCAAACTAATTATGAAACAAAAAAAGGGGCTTAATCTACAATGCATGTCTGTGTGGATGTGTGTGAGGCATGTTCTTAGTATGTGTGAGTGTAGGAGTGTGTGGGGATGTGCGTGAGCAAGTCCATATGTGTGTGTTGTGTGGTAACGCGCTTCCATCAGTGACTGGTGTTTACAGTCGGTGGTACAGGTCAGTGACGAAATCCCATGTATTTTCCCCTCTGCACTCACATTGGACATGAGCGATATCACAAGTTTACGACACATGCTGCTATGCTGCTGCTGTGCTCTGCTGGCTGTACTACTCCTTCTACTGTATGCGGACTGCTGCTGTTGCTGCTGCTTCTACTACTACTACTGCGCTGGCTGCGTACTACTGCTACTATTACCACTATGTTTCTGCTGTACTGCTGCTACTACTACTACTGCTACTGCTTGCTGGACTTTGAAGACTAAGCAGGGCAGGGCCTGGTTAGTACTGTGATGGGAGACTCTGGGACCACCAGGTGCCACAGTGGGGCGGCTGTAAAGTGCAAATTGTGTTATGTCCTTAGGCAACACACTTCACCAAATTAGAATGAGTCTAGAGTGTGTGAATGGGTTGGTGGTGGATGGGAGGGGGCTGATGGCACAGACTGGTTGCCTTGCCTCCGTCAGTGGCCCCAGGGCGCAGTGGTACAGTAGTAGTTTATCTCCACGCGTTTGGTGTGAATGAATACTGCTGGTGGACACCTGCAATGTCATGTGAAGCAACTTTGAGTGGTCTGAAAAGGGAGCTTGTAAAAGTGATGCATTTTTTGTTATTATTATGAAAATCAGGCAAATCACCTAAATGATGGTATCATTACCACATCTTTTATAACGCCGCACATCTAAACCAAGCGATGGGTCTATCAGAGGAGAGGATGCAGCTCCTCCCAGCGGTCTAACCAACTCTGTGCTGTGACCTAAAGTGCTGTTGCATTATTTACTTCTTGTAGCTACTTGTTAGAATTTGTTTTTTTTGTACGGATGGGTGTGTTTCTGCTGAGGGGGCATGCCAAATTTATCAAAGAGTAACAATAAACTATCTATCCATCTATTACGGACAACTTACTTTTCAAGATCAGATCGGATTCATTGTATTTGCCATTTGCAGTAAAACCACATTGACATTTAAGGCCTTATTTTCAGTGACGGTTGGATCCTGTTGCAGAGCTCTCTGTGCTGGTGAAACCTCAGTATGGTGCTGGACAAGGACAGTTGCTCTGCTGTGTGAACTTGGAGCAGGGGCAGAGCAGGACTTGATGGCGCTCCTGATGGGAGCTCTCTAATGCGCTTGTGAAGCCGAGCCTCCTGGGTTACAGCGCGCAGCTCTAATATAGATTTGTAATGACTCAAAATTTGTTTATTAAAGACCATTTGTTAAGTTATAAATCATTTGGGGAGCTACCTGAAAGGGGCTGGCGAGCTACTGGTAGCTCCCGAGCCACAGGCTGGAGACCCCTGTTCTATAATGACACTTCGTAATGGTGTGAAATCAATATTGTAATTGCATGTTTGAGTTGAATGGCCTATTTCAGTATACAGTGTACACTCCAAATACTTTTTTTGTGGTATAGGATGCAGCCACTGAACCTTTAAGACATACAATATGATGGATTGGAATCCCTTGGGAGACATATTGATACCATATATTACCCTCAAATGCGCCACAGTTATATTTCGTGCTGTACAGCATGCAGCATGCAGCAAATACAAGTAAAAATGCTATTTATTGGTAAAAAAAGAGAAAGATGAGGCAGACCTTGAGTGTTGTACATGCCCACAGCCGGGTTGTTATAGACTGCAGAATCCCCCAGTAGCGTGTTATAAGGATTGTTAGTACCATGGGGACGAAGGAGAGCATTAGTTATAAGATGATTAGCCATGGCTCCTGGTACAGGCAGACAGAGAGAGGGGAGAGGACAGAAACAGACGAATAGATAGGGGGGGGACAGTATGCAGAAGTGGCATAAGTGGATGGGGACGTGAGTGTGTGGGAGAAAGAGGGAGAAAAGAGCACAGGTAAATCAAACAGGCAAAAATAATAAAAAAAACAAATGCAAGTCTGAGGTGAAAAGCAACTCGACAAGTCATTCTGGGAGCCGGACACGTACACAGGCTGGACGGAGACACAAAAAGGTGTGTGCGCCCCCAGTGAACGCTTGAGCGGGGAAGCGTGACTACAGGAGACTTAATAGACAAAAGGTCGGAGTGAGTGAGCTCTGGCTGTCGGGTGAGCGAAGCATCACAGAGAATTGTTACTTCAATATATGGCTAATAAAGCACAATGGAGAACCGCTTTGTGTATTTGTATCTATTTGTTATATACATCTGTATTTATATCTATATCTATAATGTTTTGTTAAGCACTTTGAATTCCCTTGTGTATGAACTGTGCTGTACGAATAAACTGGCCTGGCCTTGCCCATAGACCGTATATATTGCCGTATAGAATAGCAGTAGGACATATCAGTAGAAGATACATATAACTTGTTACGCACACTAAAAAAACTATAAGCGGAGGCACCATTTTATTGCTCAGAAATGTTCTGTATTATAATACATGGGGGTGTCAGAAGCCTTTTGGTCAGGCCAAATTTAAAAGGAAGGGAACCACTATTTTTTTTTAAACCTCATGTTTTGCAATTGTTGTTATTTTTCGGATTAAAAAATAAAATGCACTTATTTCTTTTTTGGTTTAACAATACAGGGCGAAAATAAATACTATTAATTATGAGGTACTGTACATCTTTAAGTGAATGTTTTTTATAATTTTATATATTTTACTTATTTTGGTGACACCTGCTTACAAATACACATGCTACTTTTACCCAAATGAAGTAAAGTTTGTGGAAAAATAATTCCAGGAAGTGGAGCAGCACTTCAGAACTAATAGTTCTAACTAGTAAGGAGCAGGTTGGCACAATTTACTGCAATACATCAATATGAAACTTAAATGATTATTTCAAATTAATAAAAAAATATTCAAAATTAATGCATATGTTTTAAGAGTTTGGATTAATACCTGTTTAGATACCGTTTACAACAGAGGGATGTCATATCACAACCAGGAAGTGAAATTATGATTTATTTATTTTTTAAATGCAGTATCTTAAATTTCATTATGTGAACTGAGCTTTTTGTGAAAGTCTAACATGTCATATGGAATTTACGCAAGTAGTACATCCAAGGTACTAAATGTGGGCACTAACTACAGTGGTAAGTATATATTTAACATGAGTTTGGTTATTTTTCATAAAGGAACAGATATTAATAGCATTGGACAATTCATGTCCAGCTAGAAATGCCCTAAAAAGCCACTTAGAAAATATCAATTGGAGACTGAATATTTGAATGCATAACCTTGCCCCAACTAGCTCTCAAACCCCCCACAGCAAATTGATATGGCGCTTTTTTCATAATAAGTTGCATCCAACAAAAGACCTGTTGCGAACATGTAGCTAGACCACACCGTTTCAGGAAGTAGCACTTAATAATGTAATAAATTTAAATGGCAGGAGTAAATGTAGGAGAGCACTAAACGCCTCGACAGTATGGTAGTAAACTGTAAGTGACATTATAAATATGCTGCGTAAAACGGAAGCAGATTATTTCCAACTGCCTCGCGACGTAGCTCTAAATTAAGCCCGCTCCTATAATTTCTACAAGTCAATCTCCCATCAGGATATCCAATTCAGTCATTTCCACCCACGAAAGCTGCAGTAGACCCGTCACTGAAAATCTCTGTGCTAGGATGTACCTTACTTTGAGTGAGAGTCCAGGGGCTGTCTCTCTTAAGTGTGTGATAATTCTGCCGCTGACACACACCACATAACGTTAGCATCAATCTGTCATGCTAACATCTTATTAGTGGCTTGGAGGAAACTAGGGCCACACCTCGACTCGGAGACTAACAAATGGTGGTGTGTGAGTGTGTATGTGTCACAATATTTTGCCATTTGCTACATCTTAACGTCCTCATTACCCCGGCAGCAGTCACGATGGTACAATCCATTCTCACTGACCATTACGGTGGCTTCAACTGTAATAACCAAGGCATACATTGGAAATACTTAGCATAATACCCATTTAACTGCCAACAGCATTCTGCGAGTGAGGAGGCAGACGCTAAGCCGGACGTGTCTTATGTGCTTACCTATACATTTGTGATTGTGTGGTTAAAAGGCTTTAAAGTCTGGGAGAAGATTATTAAAGCTGGCAGTAAATTTGCATTATTTACAGTGAAGGAATTTGCCTTTAGTTACACACTAAAGTCCTTTGAAAGAATTAATGAATGGGCAAATATAGTGAAGTAACAACGCTCTTGTAAAGACGCAGCAGCCATTGGAGACATGTTTAATAATCGTTTTTTAAAGAAGGGAGGTGATAAAGGTGGTAGCCAAAGTGGAACCCAAAAGCTTTCTATAACTATGTTGAAAAGTTCATTTATTTTTGTGACTTAACGTAAAATGTGAAAACAATATGTGTGATACATAAAGCATATGCCAAGCCATTGTTTGTTATTATTTTGATGAGTATGGCCTACAGTCCATTTTAAAAATATTATTAAATTCTGAGATATTTTATTTGGGAGTTTTACACGAACATTACCATAAAAAGCCTTGTTATATCTTACGTTGTATGTAGTGACTAATATATGATCATATATAAGTTTCACATGGTTGAAATACATTAGGAAATAGACTTTTGAATTATATCTTAATTTTCAGCAGTACATAAAGAATGATACATAACATATTTGTACTCTGTATTCTATTTTATGTATCTATAATAGAGATGCTGATATACATGGAGAACAGCTGTTTTGGTACTAAAGTAATCTAACTTAAAACTCAAAACATGGCTTTAACAAGCCAACAACTATACAGTACATCTCAAAGAAAGATCTGGTCTGCTTATTTCTTTTTACATTTGATTTAACTAATCATTCCTCAAAAAAACCAAAACAAAGAGCTAGTATTAGAAGTTTGGGCTCCCACCTTTCCATTAAATTGTTGACATATGTTTTGAGGCCCTCCTGCTATTTATAAAGTACATACAGTGGCAGCGATGAACATGCAAATGGTCGGTATCCCGCGGTTACCTCTGTTGAGAGTAGCTGAGCTGTTGATGTCTCCAGTGATGAAGGAAGACTCCTGTTTCCTCACGGTGTCATTCCACATGCGACGGATCCGACTCTGTGCGAGAAGAGGGAGAGGGCACACAGAAGCAGCGGTTGTGGATAGGGGTCGAGGGGGAAGGAGAGGGAGAGACAACAAAGCGGGAAAATATGGTGAGAAAAGATGGGTTGTGCACAGAGGGCAGTTCAGTGTAGGAGACGCCATACGTGTGGCAGGGGAGTAGAAGGTGGGAGAGGTGAGGGGCCATTAGTCCCTATTGTGTTCAATGTAAAGTTAAGTATAAATGTTTCTTTAAATTTGGGCTCGGTTATCACACTTTTAACACAATCCAAGTATTTTTCTATCTATTTATCAAAAGCATACATACATAAATTTAAGCCAACGGCAAAAACATAAATAAATAAAACGAAAGAGAATACTAAAGCCAAATAAGAACCCGTGGGGGTGAGTGGGGGACCCTTAAATAATAAACTAAAACTAGTTAAAAGATGTTAGACAGACCAAACAGAAAATACAATTGGGAGGATATTAACTATTCAATATCAGCATTCCGAATCATAGCAGAGACTAAGATGGTCTGTTTGTATTTTTCCTATAACACAGAGAATGCAATAATTGTTTTTGTCTTTTGGTTAAAATTCAACAAACCTGATTAATACTGAAACGCATCTACAGATTGGATTATGGTTGAAAGTGTTTGGTGATAACCGAGGACCCTGATGGAGCGCTGGTCTCACCTGGGAGTCTGCTGTGCTGTAGCGTCCGGGTGTGCAGGCAGGTAAGCTCACCTGAGAGCCTGTGGAGTAGCGGCCCGGGGTCCGAGACGTGGTGGTCTTATTGGAGGAGGAGATGGAAGTCTCCACACTTTTACCGCTGCAGCAGTGAGTACGCAGGCATTTGCCGTACTCTTTCCGCACCTGTGGATATAAAGTGGCGTGTAGGTGAGAAGGTACCTTCCTAGATGTGAACAACCAGAAGGAGTTCCACTTTCAATATTGGGGACATTTCACACACACTCTGTGCTCTATGATTAACACCAGATTCCTTTAGTGGGTTTCTATGAAAATCCTCAAACAAACCTGAAAGCCCTAAAACACACATGGAAAGATTAACTCCCTTTTCCTATCAACCCAGGCCCAAATGTTATTACAGTCATATTGATCTGAAATGGACCTAGTCCTTCGAGAGACATATGATGCACTTGTACACAAAGAACATCTGCATTTAGATCGCAATCAAGTTAGAACAAATAGGTCCGTAATTGGCTTTTAACAAGCTTGTTGGACTGGCAGGCGTGTGTTGCCACATGCTCTGTTTGCACAGCTGCATGCTGAGTTGTTCCATGCTTCTTGGGAGAAAGCACTTTGGGCCGGCGCCAGCGAAAACCTCAGCAGTGTTCGGAGGACATGTCTCGAGATACCTGATCCCTCGGCCTTTCACATACCTAAGTGCAGTGCACAGGCTCAAGCGCAGATACACACTGCACTTGTTCACTGGTCAAACCTTTAAAAGTGAAAGACTCTCCGCGGGACTGCAGCCAGACAAAAGTATTAACCGCTCTTTCCTTTCACATCATACTCCTCTTCTGTTCTCTCGAGCACTGACAGTGTGTGGGAGCGTCTGTAAAAATATCTAAATGTGTAGGCTTCTTCTGAAAAGCACATTTCAAACGAAGCAAGTGATACATACTGTGTATTCCCGATGCTGTATTATTAATGCTAACATTGGAAACAAAGAAAGCAAAAATGAGCGTAGGCATGTAAGCATCTGGGCTTAGCTGAAGCCATGTGTGCATTAACCAAAATCACATATAAATCTGACTAAAATGTACTATTTGTGCACTCAAATAACTGTATTAATTAAAAATGTAGCTTTCTTACCTTCTTTTGTAGGATACAGTGAAAGATGAAGATGAACATTCCCTGCAGCGAGTTGAAGATGGTGAAGAGGTACGCCATAATAACCGTGCTCTCATTGATGTACATGAGGCCAAACGCCCAGGTGAGGCCGAGCAGACACAGCAGCGCTATGGCCCCAATAACCCAGGACCTAGACATGGAAAAAGGGCAGACCATTTCATTTAGCACTGAGTGGCTGTCAGACATGTATGATGCATGTGGGACCATAAAACATAGGAAAGGCGTTAGCAAGGGTTCACACAGAGTCCTGTTGCAGCGGGTGGCGAATGGAGAAAGCAGCAGGAGTTCTTGTCAAAAAATAACTGCATTTTATAGAAAGTGGGAGAGGTTATACGTTAGCTGATGTCATAGACTAATATAGCAAAAGTCAACAGCTTCCATCCGAAGAATATTTTCCCATCCTGAAATGAAGGCTGCTGGTGTCATTCTCGCTATAACAGTGCAAGTAGATTTAATACGTTTTTAAGCTGCTTTTTGGGAGTTTGAGTAAAGCCTCTGCTAAGGTTCTTCATAAAGGACAAATGTCATGAAGCCCTGGTCTAGACTCGGTATACGTGGCTTCTCTGGGAAGTAAGTAGTCGGACATTAGGGCCATTAGGGGTGGCATTTCAACACTAAAGGTCACGCTTGGCGGTTGGACATGGCTAGTGCTATCGGCTGACTGGGAAGTGATCACCTTTGAGGAATAGAGATACCGAGACGCACACACGGGGCGACACGAAAACTTAGTGGGAAGTGAACCAAGTGAGACTGCAGTGATTGATTTGATGTTGGCCTCCGTGGCACCATTCCGGCGAGACAGAACCTCCAATAAAGCTCGCACTGACGACCCCTTCGTCTATAAAGGGTGCACACTCCATTCCGCTCCTCACAATCCAGCCATTTCACCTCTTCCCTCCAGTGCTCCCTTGAGTCAACTTCTCTGCCTCTCTCTCCTCATTCACATCTCGCCATTATATTTCAATAGCGCATTAGTTCTATAGGTCACGGGAGCTCACACACATCACAAATGAACGCGTAATGCATTGAACAGAGTGGTTGTAGTACAGAGTCAATCTGGGCTCATTTAGGGAGGGGTGTGGTGGTGTGTGGGGAATGATTTCTGGGAAAGACAGAAAGGAAAAGTGGGAAGAGGCCTTACCGCAGCCAAATCCACAAAAAAGACAACCATGATGGCAGATGGCGATGGGGACAAGAAAGAATAAAACACAAAAGAACGTAATGACGATTAACAAGTAAATGAACCACATTATGAGTCGACTAATGAATGGAAAATAGATTACAATCTTTGGAGCTTTTAGCGAGCAACAAAAGTCATTCCACAGAGAATTCTTAAAGCATCATGGTCCCAATTTGCCTTTTGATTTTCAAACGTCGTAAGTCATTTAAATCTGCTATTAAAAGCCATGAAGCATGAGTTCCTTTTGTCATGCGCTTCCTTCTTCTGTCTTTATAGGAACATGCATGATTACAATACATGCATGATTAATCCAGGGTTCAAGTTTCATGAGAAAAAGTTTCTGGAGCGAATTACTATCAAAATCTTTTGATGTGGTAGAGACTTCTGATTAACTATATGATTTTGGAGATTTACTTCATAAAGTCAGATTCCATTCGCTAAGGCACGTATTAGTAATATCATAACATGACTGGACAAGTGTGCATGGCCATATTCGTTGTCACATTTATTCCCCCACCCCACAAGGACAGCGTGTACTTACTTGATGTTATCCAGGCACCCCGAATCCGGTTTGAGGATAGCCGTGTGGTGGAACATTTTATAAAGCGCTATACCCAGAAAGATTACATTAAGCTGCAAACACACAAGACACAGCAAGTTACAATAATACACTGGTGCCCGTGCTGCCTAATTAAAGACACAATGTCACCGCGGCGATTCACTCACAAACATCGCAAATCATTTCTTTTCCCACTGTGGCAATTGCATGGGGACACAGTATCAGTCTGCAATCACCAAGTGTCTTTATGTGCTCCGAATACTCTGAGCTCAAGCGTTAAGGGGAAAACAGTGAAGTCATTATGGCCATAGAGAATCACTGGTACAATAGAAATCCAATTCTTGCAGATGTCGTTTTTGCAACTGGCCTTCAGACACATACGCACATCCTAAAGGCTTAATGGTCTGTTCTCTTGCCAGTGCCAATAGGTGGAGACACATAGCTGCCACAAAAACATTGATATTACTAAAGCACCCAGTTAGCTCAGTGATAGCCTGCCTGGCATTTCTACAGAATGAGACCAGAGCTTCAGCATTGACATTCACCTAATTGGAACCATTTTTTGGCAAACATTCTTCTTATATAGCTGTGTTTCGGGGTTTTAATATGTGTGTGGGTGAGTCTGGTTTATATTTGCTCCATTTGACATCGATCGCTCTGTGGTAAATAATAGTCACAGCCGAAAGTGACTGTCATTTACTGCTCAAAGTGTTTGCTTGAAATGGAACAGAGCATCAATAAGTCGCCAATATTTACCTAACACCCTGTCATATTCACTCCTCTGTCTGCCCAGAAAGCTTTCAAAAAGATATTCAGTTTCTTCAGTGAGAATGAAAGGGAATCTATAAGAACGTTTTTTCAATCTTTTTCTCTTTTTATGAAATATGTATTGTGCATATGGTGTTTGTGCGCCTTACCATAATGATGAGAGTAGCAGGGCCAATGAAACTCCAGATGAAGTACGTGTCTAATCGTAACCAGCACCTAGAAAGAAACAGACACATTATCCTCTTTCAATAACACTGGTTAAAGAATACATGTGTAAATCTCATGCCAAATGGTTTTAAAGCTGGGGCACCAAGCTCTTAAACCACCAAAAAACTGGAGTTTGTAATAACTAGGTCGAGCTCTAAAGGAGATTGATTTTATCACTAGTTTTTTCATGCATGTATTTTGGCCTCTGTCACAACTTTCATCAACCTTTTCAGACGGGAAAATGAAAAACAGTGGACCACCATCCCACCACCCACAGCGTCAAATTGTGACTTACAGGGATAGTATGTCTAGTAAGGCTAACATGTGTTAACTATGAAACAAAACATACCCCAGCTTTAACTCTACATTTGTAAACTGAGAAAATCCATCTCGTTTTCTGACTATTGGAGTGCTTCTTACAGCGTCAGAATATTTTTTCCCCCAGATGGTATAGTGAACAGCAGAGGAGCAACAATACAATCTTTGTTACCGGTTTGTGTGAAAGGGCAAGCCTGTCCCAGATAAATTTATTTATCAGTGCTTTGCATGTGTGCAAAAGTGATTTGAACCCCTTAACATTGGTGCAAACTGATTTATCACACACCTGTCCTATTGAACTACACCTCTAAAACGGCACGCGCTATTTCTGTGCCTGGATCGATAAATATACCCCTAAGTGTGCTGTCCCCATGGTTAACACGTGAAGATGCACGCACCAGACGCCCTGCGCATCACGCTTCAAATCCAGTCATCACCGGCATGTTACAGAAAGGGCACATTTGAAAGACATATACAGTATATAATTAAGAAAAAATTACAATAACATAGTATATGTATAAGGACTATATAAGTACTCTTGGATGTGTTTCACTATAACATTGTAACCAATAATAGGTATTGAAATATTCATATTTTCACAGGATATAATACAAAATCTCACTGTCTCGTGTAGGTCAGAACATGTGCATATGAATTCAAATCAAGCTCCAGTGAATTTATTGTGCACACTGGAAACCAATGACGATAAAAAAAGACCTTGACATATCATTTATCAAAAACAGTACGACAGAGGGAGAGTGCAGGAAGTTGGGCACATGTGAAAGTGACAGGAATGACTAAAGGTATAGGGAGGACTGGACCGCGGACATACATCACACATGTAGAGCTGGACAGCCATGGATGAATATCTATGATAGATTCAGCTTCCCCTCCAGGGCTGACACATGACATGAGCACATCCTACTACTGCAAAAATATGACATGAACGTGTGCATTTGAATTCTGACTTATGGATGCAGCCGTCACACGTAGGCTATTTATGAAGTCTAGAAAGGCTAAAGGTCAGTGGCGAGACATGCTATCAACACACCGGCTCGGAAAATGCACTATAAGCCCGGCACATACAGTACTAGAGACATACAAGGACGTTGTGTATGCATGAAGGCATATAAGGGATGAGTATACAGTACAACCACACACTCACAGTACATGCACAACTATCGCACTTACTTTTGCCAATTTTCCAGGTTTTATTACTTTTGCAGTAGCTATGTCAAGTCATGTCTACGCCGGCCATTGTGTTGCAGTTTACACTTTGATGTACGACCAGAAGTCTCTATGTTATATATGATTGTACAGAATGAAAAAATGAAATGCTAGATTTTCTGAAGCTTTAGTGGCATCTGGGCTTTGATGCATCAAAAACTTCCAATCTACTTGGGGAGATCAGGAATGGTAAAGACCAGGGAACTCCAATATTCTTCAGTAAAGGTGATGAATTTGTAGACCTTGTAGTAACACCTTTTTCACAAATATATTTAAAACTGTCCCTCCCTCAGGAATAAGCACTACCGGTTATAGTTTCTGGAGGAGAATAGTTAGACCAATGGTGAGGGGCCTATCAGCAGCCTATCAGTGCAATCAGGAATCGCTTGGATTGGAGAAAAATCTCAATCTTCATAAAAGTACCAGACATTTACAAAAATACTTTTCCCATACATCCAGACACAGAAGAGTCTGCAAGTGTTTGTGACAATGTTGTAGAGAATGGTGCAGCAGAGTAGAGTATAGTCCTTCTTCACCCACTTTAGAATGCAAATGCCCTCTGATGGAGGTCGCACCCAATGGGTTGAAGAAAAAAGGTGCCAAACAAAAAATATACTGGGGCAAAATGGCTGCCTGATTCATGACCAGTTGCTTTTGAATTATTAATCTTTCAATTTCCAGCACATTAGAGAGCCCTCCATTATGGGTCCCTGGCTGTGTCACACTATCCCCCATTAGGGCTCCTGTGCTAAGTCATAGTCGCGTTCATTATAGAGACATGAATGAGAGCCAGAGCCCCTGGCCAGTACAGGGAGAGTGAAGGTGGCTTATGTGACAAGGTGACACTGCGGGGGAGGCCGATGATATTTTCAAAGGGTTTAGTTGCAATATTATGTCAAATATCATATGCAAGACCATTTTATAGACTGAATGATGAATTATATTGTTCCAAGGCATTGCCCTTATCTAATGTATGGAGATTTTCACAGTTTCCACCCAAAGCATTATGAATTAAGAGGGTCATGATTTAAAACGTTAGTGGTATGACGATTATATTTCATAAATCAGTTTTGTCCAATGTTCAGGGGTGCTGATCCCTTTTGCGCACACACAAACCCTTGGTACACACAGTCCTGTGAAGTCCAAACAATTATAATGCAACATCAAAATTATTGATTATACTGACATACAGATATCTTTACATCCCTGTGAATTAATATATATAAATAACTAAATTTGGCCAAATGTACAAGCCTGGTGCACATCTTTTTTGAGGGAATATTCTACATAACGTTGGCATTTTACTTAATGTCACAGAGAATCTGATCTAATGCAATGCAGACTAGATTATTCATCTCAAACTTGGGCTCTCATGTTTTAATGATCCCCACCATGAAATATTGATCTAAGTGGCTTGACGTTTAAACACTCTTAAATCAGAGCCATTTTGTGTATGGACTGTGTGGATCGTGGAGAGTTATGACATCTGACGTGTGGCTCAAATGCCTTGGGAGCAGCTAAGAATGGGAGCACATCTGAATCATTTAAGAGTAATATACCGTATTCTATTCAGAGAATCAGTCATTTATAATCAAGTCCAACATCCTCTTTAACCCGCATGATTTTATTGTCACTAAAGAAAGGACAGGTCACGGACATTTATAAATGTATTATGGATATGTAATATTCATATGCACTCAGTGGAAAAAGTGTTTATCAGTGAAAAGACAGAGCACTCAGTGAGGATGCCTTTGTGTGTCAGAATACGAATGAACAATTTCAACTCACTCCTAATGCATGTTCTTATCCTCTGTGTGACTGCGCTCCCTCCAGGTAAGCCATCTTGTTAAATACATAAGCAGGTGCATGTGTATATATAGCCCCATACCACGCTCCTCCATCAATCTCTACTGTAAAACAACACTTGTGGAAATTTATAAGGTATATAAAGCATGGGAGCTTTAACCGGAAGGGACAATTTGTTTTCATTTTTGTGGCCCAAAGGGACACTTTAATGTTCTAAACTGAATGTAATACAGCAGCTTGAAAACTAAATTGTAGTCATTTGATTTGACCAATTTACTCACCATGTAAGATACATAAATGACAATATTTTTCTCTGACTGTCCTTGTCATGTGACAATCTCATGTGTTTCTCTCTACACCTACAGTCCATCTGAGAAAGGCAGCCAAACTAATGCTCTGACCTCCTGTGAAACGCATGTATGTCTCCTGCCCCTCTCCCTTTACCCCATGTGCTGCTTACACTCGGTCTGTGCCATAACTGCGGTAGTCCACCGCTGCAGACACAGCTACAATGATGGCCGGCACGCCGTATCCTGCCAGGTAGAAGTACTTAGTCCTGGAGTGCTCGCTCTCGAACACCTCCACCAGCATGATGTAGAGCTGAACACCTTCCAAGAACATCCAGGTGAAGGCTGCCAGGAAGAAGAAGTGGAGCAGGGCGGCGAAGACAGCACAGGCAATCTGCACAAAATGAAATATACAAATGGACATTTGTTAAATTATTTTGTATGAATAGATCAATCAATCAATCAAAGTTTATTTGTAGAGCGCCTTTCATGCACAGGGCAACACAAAGCGCTTTAGATATTAGTTTGAATGGATCATTTGGCTGGATTTAGGAAACCGCCTAACAAATATATATTGGTTAGGCGGTTAGAGTTATTATTATTATAAGTCCAGCCAACTGGTCAAAACAGCAATACAACTAAACACAAATATTGTTTAGTATACTACCCTACTTACTATATATGGGTCTGGATATATAACTGTCAAATAATTACATTTAGTTTGATCAAAACTAAATGTAATTTGAATAAAATGACATCATAAACTACTTATTATCGGTATCTGCTCTCAACAGAATATTATTCAAAACATTGGTGGCACTCCAATTTAAATGAGACCATTATTATCTCATGCTCATGACCACAACATGCCGGAAAGACATTAGAATAATTGTTTGATATTTGAAGATAAATCATAACTCAGTAACTGCAAAAAAGCAGGATTTATAAACAGTGGTTCTGATCTTAATTCCATCATTCAAATTCAATGATGAATAAAAGGTTTTTGTGCTAGACCGCAAAAGAACCAAAGCAATTTGCAATACGACCAGGTTGCTTGATTGCCTTGGCAACAGCTTTGACAATTCAATATGATTTTTGTCATTGCATCACATCTTTTGTGAAAACCGAGGCTGCTAAATGAATGAGTGTGAGGTTCAAATCAAATGTGACACATTTTCGGTTCTAAAACCCAATGGAAGCATTTAGGAAGTGAATAGAAGCAAAATCAGTGGAATTATTGCAAAGTAATCACATGTTTTCAGTGAACTGTGTGATAAAATGATAATTACTTTCTTGTAAGATGGTAATTATTCTATACTGAGCTAAATGGAAATAAATTGGTGTTCACCTGAGGCAATCAGTGAATGAAGATTAATGAATGGCTTTTAGATTAAACAGTTATCTGGTAAAAACTGAACAACAAAGAAGATTGATGAGAAGACACACAAGTAAAGAAAAAAAATGAACAATTTATTCTCTCAAAAACGAATATGTTATATGGAGCAGTAAAAAAACATGAAGCTTTTACAGACACTAATTCCTTCACATTATGTACTTTGGTTTTACACTTTTTGTTTTATTATTACCACCAATTGATCTTATGTATAGAATATTTGGATGCTGGGGTGTGTCCTATTTGTTCCCTGAGGAATGCCATGTTGGGGTGAAATCTATAATTTAAACATAGCCAATCACAATAAAGAATTACTGATATTTTCTCACCAGTATGCCCAGGGTTGCTTTTTTTTCTAAGCACCTACACCCTTCTCTGCAATGAGCACAATTTTGAAAAACATATTTTAAAAGATTGCTTCCTACTTTTTACTCCCGCATTTTGATGTTTTGACTCATACTGGATACATTCCAAACCTCAAAACATTCCACTGCATAGCCACACTTTTCTTCAAAGATGAAAAAAAAAAATAAACAACTGGACCACATTTAAAAGGAAGGAGGATAAGGAGGAAAAGCTTAAGAGAGAAGCAATTGGTCTGTGTTATTCATGCCTTTAATCTAAAGAGTCACTCCAGAATCGGCCGCTATAACACACAGACACAATTACCAAATATCTGAGAGACAATGAGTTTAGGGGGCGAGGGAGTCACTCATTTCCATTTCTAACGATAGCACCATGTCGCACACACAGGTAAAGAAGCCTCTACTTATGCAAAGTCATTTCGTTTTTCCTGCTGGAATTAGGGCTTAAGCGGCTGCGAGCTAAGTGACGCCGAAGATGTTAATAGAGGTCACAAATAGTCTCCAGTAATTAACAGGAGAATGGCGGGGAGGCAGATACGATGCACAAAGCAACACCATCCCCTCCCCCGTTCGGTAGCACTCACAAACAGATAAACACCCACGTCAAAACACATTTATCAAATTTGCTCCATGTCTTCGTTTGAAATGAGCAGGTTGTCTCATTTTAGCGCAGCAGGGAGGCAGAGGCCCAGGGCGCAGCGCATGCCGTTCCCTTTTTACACAGAAAAACATCCAAATGGCTTCGAGACAAAGAGTAGAAAGCACTACCGATCGCTGCAGCAGATATACAGCACCATAAGCGTTACTTTTTACAGATGCACAGTCAATGGAAAATGCAGCAAGCAACTTTTTTTTTTTTTTACCAAGAATGATTGTATTATTAAAGATTTTAATCCCACTCTTATTTCATTAAAGTAGAAAACAATTGGGTTAAGTAATGAATTAAAGCTGGAGTACCATCCACCCATCCATTTTCTTCCCCTTAATCCATTTCTGGGTCGGGGGGTGGCAGTCTGAGCTGCACCCAGTACACAAAGAAACAGCCCCTCATTGATCCTCCTGCAGGTGGGGAGTCCACAGGAGGACGGCTGCTCTAGTCTGAGCTGTCTTGATCTTTCAGGCAAAGTGGGGTTAAGTGTCTTGCCCAAGGACACAACAACAGCAGACATCAGTGGGAGAGCTGAAAAAGGTCTCGTGGTGAGCTCTACCAACTGATCCACTGTCGCACAGAGCTGGAGTAGGTAACTTTTTAGAAATTATGTAATACATTTTGTTTGTCAGAACAGAAAGAGCCTTGCTTGGATAAAATATTTTGAAGAAATCAGACCACAGCATTCTTCTTTATCTTATACAAAACATGTTATCTTTTACTGTAAACTACAATGGACCATTTGACTCAAAAATGTAATTCCGAGGGCTGCTTTAAAATCTGGTTTTCAAACAATAAGTTGGTAGTGTTTCAGTCAGAATAGCCTTTAAATATTGAGGATTAGGTGTCGTCTACGTGACATAAATAATTATACCAACACGTTAATATTTGGTTTAAAAAAAATGAAGCCCAAAAAAAAAAAAAGTACAGTGATACAGAGAGCTGGTTGAATAGAGTGAGTGATACTCTCTTGTTCACCTAAAGATGTGACACAAGCCTTGACAGAGCTAGTTAAGAAGCATTCACAGACACTGTCGCTGTACATTTTGTGTGCTCCTTGGGTGCTCTTACTACTCTACTGTATGCACGCTGCAACACCAACCTTTCCCCACGTGGGACAGATAAAGGTTCTCTTATTTTATCTTAAGTGAAAACTAGTGATTGAAATTAAAACATACTCGCTCTCCAAACAGTTTCAGGTTCAAAGTAAGGTCCTCCAGCTTTAAATGAACAATTATGATACTTCTCTTCGTTAAACTGTGTACCTATATTATACGCTGTAACTCTGTGTTGCTCTCTCACCATACCCTGGATTACAGAGACAGGTGTCATGCATTTTAAATCAATGATGTAATTTGTCTACTTTATTTGTCCTTCCTCTTTCCATCCCCCACGTGGAAAACACTAGTACAAAAGAGGTCGGTGAATAAAAGGTGTTATCTGGTGCATGTGGTTCAAGCATGTGAGGTTTGTTTACACTCTAATGGAGGTTGGGAAGGGTCATCGTCTTCATGGCCTTAGAAGTAGTTCCTCGTCTACAGATGGGGCTGGCTAAAGCAGAACACAGTCTCACATGAGCAGCATGGGTCACGCACCATTAACTGTAATAGAAAGTGCCAATCTGGTAATGTTTAGTGGGAGTGACGAGAAAACCCGAATAGGGAGGTGGGTTGAATAAAAGCAAATGCTAAGCAATGGAAAGAAGTGAGGTATAATTAAATGCAGAATTGCCTTTTGCTTGTTTGTTTGCTTATCAAGTGTGTTTTCCCGTCTCACACATCTATATATAATTAATGCCACAAATGTCTCTGTGCCTTTACCATACTGCAATATGCGCAAGCGACACAGGATTTACCTCTTAATTTTTGCAAATGCATGAGTCTGAGATGTAGTATTTTATGGGAATTAGATGGCTATACAAGAGATCCTTGTGTAAGTCACAAGCACTCCGATTGTGTATCCGTGTTATGACTCTAATATGTTCTGATTGTCTTGATATAACACGTATGTCTTTCCATGTGTGACATATGACTATATAGAGCATGTCCTAACTGGATTCTGTCTGAAAAAACTGAAAAAAGACGGAAGGAAACTGAGAATAAACTTTGGGGCATACAGATCCCGTCTGTGAGGTTGATTTTCCACAATTTGCACAATACAAATTGTACGAGAATACGATATGTTTCCAACTGAGATAATGTGTTTTATTGCATTCATTTTATTATCATGTATTTATTTTATTTATAGTTATAGATTTATTTGCATTTGTTTGAATTACTTATTATTTTTGGGCAATAAAAATAAAACTGAAAAAATACAAGAAATAAATGTCAAATGTGATCTTGTTTTTCTTCATATCAAAACTTGCTCTAATCAGAATCTGGGTTCTAGTTTTATTATTGACAAATGTCTGATTTTTGACACCAGTGGGAGAAAAATAAAATAAAGTTGAAAACCATAATCTGATCATGTTTGCTAATGTTTCTCATTTATTCTGGGAAAGCTGCATGCATAAAATGTTCAGTTGAATTTGTTGTCGCCTCAATGTGGTCAACTGACAACAGCTAGTCAGCAAACATTTCAACATTTGGAACGACAATAAAAAACTATGAACAATGGTTCAGTATGAGCCTGAGCCAACATGGAGTCTGTTGAATTGGAAAACCAAGCTGGTAAAAAATGCATTATTTTTTGATCTTCTATGTTACCCTGTGATAAGCCCTGTTGATACGACCTAATACAAAACAAATCAAGCATAAAAATGTTGCGTTTACTGCTCTAAAGTGATGTACCGCTGTAGCATTAAGCCAAAGACAAATGGCCTATGTGTGCACGCTACAGAGTAAGTGATTGATTTTCTCCTGGCCTCACCGGCTGGTCGGCCCGGTTGATCCCCACGAGGAAGAGGGACTCGGCGATGAACAGGCTGATGCACAGGTTCTTGTGGATGGTGTTGCGGTCGCTCTGTAGCCCGCGGAAGAAGCAAAAGGTGAAGATACAGATGAGCAGGCACACCAGGGACAGCAGGATCCCCACCCAGGTGATCACATCCAGGAGCAGGTCGTGCATGCTGTCAGCTTTCTGCAACAATACATACAAAATGCTATTTATTATCAATGTCAACACTGCATAGTCGGATGTACAGTACTGGATGTGCCTTAAAGTAGCAATATGTAAGATTTTCATGTCAAATCATCATTCAATGGCCCAAATATGGCAAAAAGTATTAATAAACCATGCTCTTTTCGAATACTTCTTCATCTGATAACAGTAGTTCAGTTGAGATATTTAGATTTCAAAACTATTATTGTTATTGTTTTCATTTTGATGTCCCACCCTCCACCGCTTTTTCCAATTAAAAAAAGTCTGTGATCTGAGCTAATCTCACTGATAAAGTACCACATGGTCGCAGAACTAAAAAAGGTCTCGTTATGATTCACAAATTATTAATGACAAAACAGGAATAAAACGAGGATTTCTATCCATGTGAAAAAGGTGTTGGTTATAGATTTGCTGTTGACTAAAGGCTTGTCTATTCATGGTTCCACTTTTGGCCAGATTTGTACATACTGCTCTTTTAAAGGTAATGTCGGACACTTCAATTAAATAAATTTTTTCAATGAATGCATATTTTTGACCAAATGAACCAGTGCTATCATGTATTTTTCTAAATTAATATATTTCAAATAGTCCCTCTTGGCAATTCCACAACCAGTAATATTTGGTGGAGGAGAATAGTTCGACCAATGACAAGGATTTGAATCGATTTAGTAAAATCAGGAAGCTGGGAGGGTGGGCATTTTGAAAATTATCTGACAATAAAACAAAATGATTCCCCTAGAGTCCTCGTAAACATTTACACAATTTTGACATTATTTAATAACAGACACACGGAGCTAGTGCCAGACAGAGAAAGAGGGAGAGAGAGATAGATAACAATCACCTGAGAAATATTTGCAAGATGTGAGTTAAATGTAATCAATTACAGAAACTTTTTGCGATTTACATAAAGCTTTTAATGTCATTCCAAAAAGGTCTCTGAGAGTGATCCTTATGCCGTCCTACTGTGCAGGGCCTGGTAATTTGACAATTTTGACAAGAACGCTGTTACCTTGTGGCTGGATCAACGATATTACAGGTGGCCTATTTTTTAAAAACCCTATTCATTTAGTAAGTAAGTATTTGATTCAAACTTATATTATTCATACAGCGCAACATAAAAACAACAAGATATAGATGTCCAATTTGAAAGATACAGTTTGTTGTAAATCACTATACAGACATCATAGATATATAGACTAAATACAGTACAATTCTCCCTCTCGCTGTCATCTGCACTGTTAAATATCTATTGTGTGTACTGGATATGTGTTTTGATTTTTTATGACCCCAACCCCAACACTAACCCTGACTTACAAGAATACATGTATGATTGTTTTAGTATCATATAATGCTTTAAACACACCCAGCCCCAATGTGCAGTAGTTTGAATCTTCACTATGAGTGATGCGCGTCTGCCTGTTTGTCCCTGAGTGTTCGCGGCCTCCTCCACGTTTTTACGCCGTGCCGCACAGGTGCAGCAGCTCTATCCATCAGTGTCCCGTAGGCTGACAGCCAGAGCACCGTTCACCACGGAGCGGCCATGATGGATCTACTGCTCACACCCGCACACGGAGCTCACACAAGGGTTAGCTCTGACCATGACCCCAGCAACACTAACACACAGTCCCTGGCCTCAGTGGGAGCGGCGCATGTCACACTGCATCAAGAGCTACAAGACACAATTTGGGCGAGAAAAAGTGGACTCATCCCACTTGAGTTTGTACTGCTTAGCCAAACTCCTACTGGGTTTAATTAATATAGAAACAACATCGATGTCGGACTCACAGACGGCTTATCATTGACAAAACGTATAATCTCCAGTGATTATCCGGAGCTCATCGCAGTCATGTGTTTAAGTTTTAATCAAGCCTACACAATGCCAGTTTTCTTAGGACTTTTTCATATTCTCCGAGAATCCCTAGGCTGGTTGTTAATAACAATCCAAATAGATATTTTAAAAGGCCTTCAGAAGAAGTTAATCTCTTTTTTCCTTGTAATGATTGGTTTGAATATATTGTGGAAGCTGGAAATTTACTGTACATACACTGTGTAGAAATAAAAATCTAATTAAACTTATGACTCTGTAGAAAGTACCCTAGTATACATAATTCAAGATACGCGCCCCTCTTGATATTGTGGCATAGTGTGTCCTCAAAAGCATTATTTTTTGTTGTGGAACATATCCCAAATCACGCCCAAAGACATTCTCTCCTAGACTAAGAAAGATGTGGGCACATACGGGCCCACATCCAAGCTGGGAATGAACCAAGCTGGTTCATTCCCAGTTTCATTCTTTCAACTCAGAACCTGTGTTTCCCATCCCACAACAATTTTACTTGAATGAAATAACGTTTCAATATTTCCCGAAATGTCACTTCTACCTTTTACACTCTAACGCCTGTTTTGAGCCTCTAACTGCATGTTGATGATTAGATAAACATTATTTTTTCAGCGCACAAGGCTTGTATTCAGGAGTCTCCAAAGAAAACTGGTATCTGTCTTTGTCATTCCGGGATCCACAGGTGGAATACAAATGTCTTAAGTGCTTTTCCATTCCACTCTGTGTCATCATCCACCTCTGACAAATTGAATGTAAAATTCCTCCTGTCAAATCTGATTACTTACTATCATGGACTCTAGAGACTTCTATTTCCCAGATGCTCCTGACTTTTTCAGGTCAGTTTTCTCTAATCAAATGATGAATGAGTCTGTCTTTGGTGAAGCCTTACCTTGACCTCTACGTGGGCCATGAGCACGGCGAAGCTGGTGAGGTGTGTGCACGAGCAGCTGGTGTGTGTGCGGTTAGTGGCCAGCAGTCGACAGTCCTGTGTCGACCAGAATCCCGTCATGGTGCGTTTGGAGTAGCTCCAGAAGGAACAGTTGGGATTGAAGTTCTCTTCTGAATGCTAAGGGAAGAAAAGTGTGTCAAATTAAGATGAAAGAAATGTCAAGAGCGCCACACTGCAGCTGTATAATGGGACAAGTGACACTGAAAGTGAGAGAAGAAACCTTTCAAACAAAAAAAGTGTACTGTATTTTTGCAAGTCTACTTTCGATTGTATGTAAATATTTTATAATACAAACCACCCAGGTTTGTATCCTATATGCATTGCCTAGTTTTCTGAGAAACAATTACACTATTCTAAATGCTGCAGCTCGTGTCTTCACTGGAATAAGAAAGTACGATCACATTAATCCGGTCCTCAGGTCTCTGCACTGGCTTCCTGTGGCTCAGAGAATAGACTTTAAAACAGCTCTGCTAGTGTACAAATCTCTCCATGGCCTCGCACCAAGTACATCCGAGACATGTTAGTGCCATATGAACCAGCTCAAACTCTGAGGAGCACAAGGACTGGCCTCCTGCTGGTGCCCAGAGTGAGGACGAAATATGGGAAGCCAGCATTTCATATTCATGCATCCAAAATTTGGAAAAGTCTTTCTGAAAAATTCCTGAGATTTGCTTCTACCCCGACAAGGTTCAAATCCGGACAGTATCTTCACTCTTTAATGCATCATGAGTATTTATGATTTCAATGCCTTGTATGATTTTAATTTGTTTTCTTATTTTGTTCAGCACTTTGAGTCACCTTGTGGATGAACAGAGCTATACAATTAAACTTTCCTAACTCTCTCGTCAACTGTCATGGTCATAATCTTTTGCTTGATCTACAAGTACATTCTGCAAACAAATAAATGGAGAAGCCCAATAAAACAACAGGCCCACGGCACAGAATGCAACAGGGCAATCACAAACAAACAGTCGTGGCAGGAGGTGACAGAGCTTTGCTTGCCTGTTGTGTGACTTTCGCGAGTGTAGGAGTTGCTTGTGTTTGGTAAACTGAAAAGTCTAAGTGGTGCGTGGCAGACTGGTAAAGTTAGTCACTAAATGAGCAAGACAGTGACAAGATTTCCTTGCACTTTGGTCAGGCTTGTTAGGAAGCACTGTCTATGATAGCTAATGAGATGGTGATCTCAAAGGACTAAAAAGTGTGCGTCCATCTTGATTAAAACATATACAATACACAATTTTGCAGCATATAATAAATTATTAATCCAGTCTGTGACCTGATCCAATCTAAAAACCTGATCACACAAGTTACAATTCTGAAAATATAGCAATCCTGCTGTGAGCATCGGTGTAGGAGTATGAGAATATGTCCATATGCAGTCGAGATTTTAAAAAATAATAGAAAGAATGGAAACACTTTGTGGCGCAGTGAATCAACAATTTCACATTCTGGGAAAATAGTTATTCTATGTTACATATTTCTTCATTGCCATTTTGATGATGATTTATTTGAAAGTTTAACCTTCCATAGGTAATATTAATAAAACTCTAATAGGCTTTTAAAACCATTCATAATGTATTGCTAATAAGGTTTAAACTATAGATGTATTAATAATATATATTTTAACTCACCTTAATTACTGAATGTAGACTGTACCTCGATCTTGATACAATTAAAGAGGTATTTAATATTATAAGATGGGGGTATAATCATTAATCTGCCATAAAAGGACCAACTATTAGCACAGGGGTGGGGAATTATTTTCTCTAGGCGCCACATTGGGATACTGCATATTAAGTTGCCAGGCTTCATTGGATATATACTCCCATTCGTTTAGGGCACTTCACACTTGTTGATCTAGTTTACTTTAATTGGACCACTTGGGGAAACAATTATTCACGGATCTGTTTCAAAAGAAGTAAACTAACAGAATGGGAATATGCACTCTTAGTGGTCTAACAAAGTCATTACAATTACAATCCAACTTCTGTTAGTAAAAAGAAAAAACAGCTACAGTTTACATAACAAAGTGGCTACCCAAAATAAAGCCTCATTCTGCTCTCTGAGAGCAGATAATCTTCTTGAAAACTGTAAACTAAAATTAAAAATTAAAAAAATATTGTTTTAACTGTACTTCTACTAATTAAGAATAACTCTCTTTTAAACTTTTCTTCTGAAAATGTTAAATATATTTTGTACATTTGACCTAGGACCTGGGGACAAGTCTGTCTTAGGTTCTGAAACAAATATTAGTCAAATTACTAACCTGCAAGTGTTTGACGGTGAAGACCACGGGTTCGGACAGGTACACTTTGTTGCTCTCCTTGTTAATAGACGCGGTGATGACCGGGGAGTTGACGATCACAGAGTAGTTTGGGTACACGGCGTCACTGCTCAGTCTGACACTGGCGTTCTCCGTGGACAGGTACTGGCCCAAGTTTCTATAAAGGACAAAGGCCATCCGGATCTCTCCTGTGGGGTGGAACGTGCACATGTGAGTCAACACACCTAATAACGTTTGTATCCAGAAATAGCCTCTAAGAGCAGGGGTGAGAGAAACATAGTGAGCCTGACACACTGATCTCCTGCTGTGTGTGAGAAGAGAGGCGAGATGCTTTCTCTCTCTCTCCTCTTACCATTTCGCCCGTGTTGCTTGAGAGTGCTGGCTGACAGTTGGATGGAGTTTCCGTGTAGTTCGGATTGTGGGAACGTCAGGTCTGCAAGGTTTCCATCGGTGCTCAACCTTGCCACTTCAAGCTCTGAGGGGAGAAAACAAAAACACCATGACAGCGATAATGTCAGCTAATTGCAAAGCACTCTCTGTAGAGGCTTGTTTTGAAAGGCTCTATGTAATAGCTATGTTTTGCCACCAAGTGCTTCAAAGCGACATGCATGAATTCTGTCAGTCTGTTTTTATAAATGACCTCTTACATGAGAGTACACCAAAAAGACAAGTATTCGTCCCATGGCAACTGTCAGAAACCTTAGGCTGTGTAATCCGCTGTCTCCCTTGTATTGTGAGAACCTAATTTCTCTGTCCATGGTCGTTAGCGCACGGCAGATTACGACGGGTAATGCATTAGATAAAGTTTCTAATTACGGTCTAATTATACCTTTCCCATACTGGTATCAAGTGATATTGTGATTTAGATGTTGTTTTCATGGTGAAATGAAGAGCCCCCAGGATCAAGTAAAGAGCACAAGGACATGCTCAGGACATGAAGGCGAGATTTGTGAATTAGGAAGATGGTAAAGAGGTCAGTTAAAGTTAGAAAAAGCCAGGAGAAAAAGAAAATACATCAAATTAATAAGATGAACCTTTTTTTGATATGAACAAATTATCCTTATTGTAAGAAAATTGAAATATTTGAACTCCTGTATCACAGGATGTGAAACATACACAGGTATGGAGCTATAAACAAACTGAATATCTACTGTAGATCATTGGGATTCCAATACTTGAATTCCAAGTACCGTAGAAAATTAAAAGCAGGTGACACAATCATGTTGCAAGTAATTTCTAATACAGTAAACAGTAACAATCAGTAATAACTAATACAATATATTTAAAAAAAATAATTAAATTATATCTGTTATATATATATATGATATAAGCAAAGCTCTGTCACCATATATATATATATATATATATATATATATATATATATATATATATATATTATTGATCACTCATGATTTGGACACAATTTAGTTTGTGGTATAAAATATGTGTTTAATATGCTTGACTCAAGATCACATGGAAAATACTTTTTCACGCAGTGCCAAATTTATATATATATAATGGGCTTGTTCACACTAAAGGGCACAAAAGTGTGACAAAAGGCCAAAAATTAGATTTTAATAATCAGAAGATATATTATGTTTTTCATGTTTCCAAGCACCTCCTCTGTCCATTAGAAGTTGCTAGAACATAACTGTTTTATACATTAGACAAGTTTCCTATAGCGGCCCTGTTTATTTTATGTAACGGACGTGATGATTTGACGGAATGAGCTTTGTGCAAGTTTGATAGGTATTTTCAGATGTCCACATTTGATTCAGAGATTCTACTTTTTTACACAAAGTAGATGCAAAGTAATACTTTCATATTGTCAAGCAATTAAATGTGAAAACAGACCAGATTTTTTTTCTTCTCAAGTTTAATTTTTAGAGAAAAGAGGACCGTCCTCATCACGTCCGTTATACATTTTTCAGGGGTCATTTAATTAATTAATTATTTTTTATTTTTTTACGATTCCTTTTTATATCAAGTGATTTCCTCCTGTTGTGGTAACCATGTAAATCTTGTGGGATTTCATCTTCTGCTTTTTCAGACTGAGGACATTTTATTTTCTATGTAACTGGCGTCACAGTAGAATGGTCCAATCAGAGGCTCATTTGGTCGTTTAAAATGTTGCTAAACATTTTTATGTCAATCTTTCCTTTTGATTTTTTCCACACTATCTCTTCAATGTGTCTGTGTTTGAAATCTTTTTTCCAATCTATGAAAGTAATTTTAGTTTTTAAGTTATAACCTTTTAAAGTCCAGATACTTCAATTGTCACTTTACTGTGAACACACTCATATATATATAAAAAAAGTATTTCCAATTCCCCAAACTATCTTTCAGTGATGTGGCTGCTTAAAAGACTTTTCTCTTTGTCCGGACACTATTGAGTCTAAGGCACTGGACACACTTGACTTGTTGGACAATTATTAATGTGTGGCTCGAGTCGATAGTCTTTCACAGTTGACGACTTCACTATGGTTACTTTCTGACCATGATGACCGATGCCACTTCTTTCTCAAACTATTGCATTTTCAGGAACAATTTTTACTTCAGAGAAAACAGTTCATTAGGTTTATCAAGTCTGCACTTTCAATACACATAGCCAGTCACCTACAGATCAAATAACTTTGGCAACCCTTTTTGAGTGGTTTAAAAAATGTATAGAAAGATAATTGGAATTTAAAATGATGAGATATATGTTCTCGACAAATTCTTTCAATACTTTCCAGCCCTAATGGTTGAGTATGTCCAGGAAGTGCAACCAAGCAACGAGAATAGCAGAGAATGTATCACTACAAACTGGTAGTAATAGTAGAAAAATTATCCAAACAAAAATCGCACCCGCCCCACTAACAAAATGCAACATCCCCCCAGCAGAGCGGTCTCCAACATGCTGGGCCTAATCTAATTACAGCATCCATGTCATGACAATTCTCCTTCCAAGAAACATAATCGTTTATTATCTTTGTCACAATGTCGTCGGTGCCGCTGTGTGATTCTATTAATAGCATTTTTTTTTCAAGCTCAATGCAATAAAACACAGGGAATTGTTCTGAAAATACGTCTTTTAAATGATGTATTTTTCTGTGCAAGGCATCTGGTTGAGGAAAAAAGATCAGGCTTTTTGAGTGCAGGAGAGTAAAATTCTGATAGAAGTGAAATGAGAGGCAGTATGGAGAGGAATATGAATAAAGGGGAGAGATAATCACGTTGGATCTGCCCACTGGATTAGCTGTGAGCAAAGATTAACAGTACAAAGGCGAAGAGATGAAAATTTCCACACTAAAAAGACATTTTCCAGTTTTTTTGTAAGTTCCTTTAGAGAGCCCACTTCTCTGTTTATGAAGCAGCATTTATAAGGTACTTGAAATGGACATCAATTGAAGGGTAAGCGAGACGGATTTATGTAGGGATATACGCACAGTGTAGGATAGGCAGCTCTTTTCACTAAAATGTCTCTCTTTAAATATACACAACCATTTATTTTGTTATCCTTCATTAAAACATTAAGATTAAGATTAAGAGATTCTTTATTCGTCCCACAGTTGCGAAATTTCAGTGTTGCATCAAAAGTTACAGGCAGTAGGAATGGGGAACACACAGCAGGTAAATAAACAATAACGCTATAGTAAAACAAAATTAAATATCTCACTCTGGCATAAAACTAAGCAGTATAAAATCTCTATCGTTTCTCCAAACACATTTATCACTATAAACTTCACTCAAATCTTCCTCTTTTGTTGTTGTTTGAAGCAGAAATCTTGTCAAATCTTGTCAAATCAGAAATGAGTAGAAAACATACTCATGGCCATTTCAAAATTGCAAAAGAATCTCGGATTAACATTCAAAGCTCGCCAATTGGACTCCACTGATGTTTCGGTTTGTCTCATTCAGATGCTTAAATGTATCCTTATAAATAGCGAACTATCTGAATGACGTCACTAAGACACGCCCCCGCCGCCTGTCAACTCCCGCCCACATGTTTCGGACAAACACTGCCGAAATATGAATCAAATACCACTTGTCACTTTAGACGAAAATGAAATACCAGGGGCAAAATTCCACCATCAAACCATCAGGGATCATAGTGTAGACCAATTATAACGTTGGCTTGAATGTCGTGGTCTTCCAGTAGAAAGTTTGAGTTGATAAAAAGATAATGGTGAGGATTATGCTAACATTATCTAGTCATTTAAATTGCAATGCTAGCGCCTTCTTTGTTTGTTTTGCTGTGATTAACTTCCATTTATCAAGTTTTTTTTTTTTTGCACTATCCACTTTGTAATTAGTTTGATCATTAGTTAGCTACAGTCAGCTGATATTATAACAGATCCATGGGGTCACAACGGGTTACGCCACTACTGTCTCTGAGAGAGAAACTATCGGAGCTAGCCACACTCAGTAAACGCAAATGACCATCAATCGACACATTTAAATGTTAATGGGAGAATACATTATACATACATTCATAACACAAGTGCACGGAGGTTTTCAGAATTATCTGTTCAGGTTTTCATGACAAAAATACTTTTTTAATGCAACTAAAGCGATCGCTTTTTTAAAGTAGGTTAACTATCCTCACTGTTATTCGCCTGCCACGGGAAAACCTTTGGGAACTATTTTCTTTGCACTCATTAAATAAACCTTTCGGCATTAATAGTGAAATGACGTTTATTTTTGCGTGTTGAGTTGGTACAAAGCCGTATAATAAGCGGACCCCGACGCGCTTCGTCTGAACTTATTTTCCGATAGTCACGAAGTTGAAAAAAATCCCTCTCATCTTTCTTCAGGTGTGAGAATTGTATACTTTCTGGATTAGGACAAACAATACTAATATGGATTGATGGGGGTAAATGGTGTAAAGAGAGAGTTTGTGCTAACTACATTCAGAAGAGCTCAGACGGACCAGATACAGCGGTCCAGATCCAGTCCCAGCTAAACGTAGCTAGGACTGGATCTGGAGGCTCCACAGTTGGTCCAGCGAAGTGTTTTGAAAAAACATGTGTCCTTTTTAACCTTTTCATGAGAGAAATTCTGCCGACCACAAGCACCCACCTCTTGCACTTGTCCTGGTCTGATCTGGTCCTGGTCTGGTCCTGATCTGGTCCGATGTGCGTATTGTGGTTTAACGAACATCTGAGCTATTTTTAGTCTCACAGCAGTTGCATGTGTTGAAGTTTGTAAATATAGATCTTAAAGATTAAACAAATACTAAATCTGAAGGACTACAGTTGGAAGGTAGCATGGTGCTAAATCTGGTGCAGCCATCTTTTTAATGCAACTGCACATTGTCCTTAATAAATTAAACTTTAAAATTATTGTTGATTATTGAAAAAATCGGTTTATTATTGAAAAAATTTGTTGCGATTAATAAATGAATGGTTATAAGGAGCTATAAATGGCTCCTTCATTCAACTGCTGCTCTTGTGATGTTTTACCACATTTTACTGTTGTAGTAAACTTTTCGTGTATTTTTAATCCTGGAAGTGAATTGGGAATACAAATTACATCAGTAGATTCTGTTAAATAAATGATAAACCCTTGAAGCAATCTTCTGACTGAGAAAATTATTATCACAGATGTGTTCTAAGTTCTCAGTTCTAACTCTCTAATATTATCATGCAATAATTAAATATCCCTTCTGACAATACTCAACAATTATTTAATCATTGAACTGTTTCTGTTCCAGAGGGAATTTTGAACAATGCCAGAGACTCCAGCGTGATGGATACCCTCCCTCTCAATGGAAACCACGGCAACAACTACAGCATGGCAAGCAGCGAGTACCTGAGCGACTGTGTCCAGATTCTAGATCGCAGTGGGGGATATGGTACCCATGGCAACCACAAAGAGACCACTCTGGAAAAGAAGATCCTGAAGGAACTGACCTCCAACTACATCCCATCGTACCTGAACAACCACGAGAGAGCCACGACGGAGCGCAACCACAACCTCATGAACAAGCTGGTCAACAGCAACATGGCCAACGGAGGTGACTACGCACAACTACGCACAACAACAACAACACATATGGTGTTTTTGGCCGGTACCAATAAGTGGTAGTCAAGAAGGCCAATAAACAATCTATATAGAGCCCATAATTAAGGTTAATCGAGGTTAAAGTTAAAGTATTTCTGTCATTTTAACAACACAAACTAATGCACCTAACATTGTTCAAATGGCTGCTCATAATTGGCCCAGCCCGGTTATTGTTATAAGTTTTAAGTTTATTAAGGAAAACCCCTTGAGATGAATCATCTCATTTTCGAGGGGGTCCTAAACATAAATACAAACATATAAACAAACACGCATACACACAAACAATTTACGGCAAATTAAAGATGAGAAAAGTTAATTAAACACACACAAAAACAAAACAACAAAAAATGAAACAAAACAAATGCTCCTTCGCACCCCACTCCTCCCCTCTGCTGAAATTAAACATTTAGAAAAAAACAAAGTAAAACTATTAACAATAATGACACATACAGAACACAGAACATTAGTGACATAAACAAGGAGTTTCAAGGAACCTAAATAATTCAAACTTAAATAAACCAAAAGACAGAATGGATCGTATGGATGTGAGGAGTTTATTCCTGTCTGAGGGAGCCTTATATTGAAATGATCTGCGTCCAACTTCTTTAAAAACTCTTGGAACAGAAAAGGTGAGACAATCAGAGCTTCGGAGTGAAAAAGGTGTAGAGACAGGGACAAAAAACTGTTTTAAATATTGTGGACAACTAAAATGAATACATTTAAATAATAAGTGCATCCAGTGAAAGTGACGGTTTATTGTGCGTTGTAGAAGATTGAGGGACTATTCTGACTTGTCTTACTCATTTTAGTGACACACAATGTGCAAATCTGATTTGCAACAATGTTTCCTCACATGGAAAACATACCAGGAGTTGTATCTGTAGTTCCAACATCCACCTTTTAGGCATTATTCACAACTCTTTTTGTTTCTGTTCCAAAAAATAAAATCTGAGTAATTTGCCATCTGCGATGTCATTGTTCTGAGACTAGTGTTGACATGGCAAGATATTTTTAAACATGCATTCCTCAACTGTCCTGGTGGCGGTTTCTATTTAGTTTTTCTTACTGTTGAGAACATTTACCTAGTATTTTATTAAAATCCTGAGAAAATTTCATTTCATTTCTCAGCTGTTAAAAGCAGTTATTCATCATCCAAAGATAGAAAAAAGAAAATCCAAATAGTGCTTATTCAAGTTACTCCAGGTACCTCTTCCTTGTATTTATTAATTTAATTGTGTTAGTTAATTCTAACAACGCAGTAATTGAAATAATGTTGATATCTTCCTGTTCTCTGTTGTTTCACTAGGGAGCATGCCAGGCAGCAGTAGCAGCAGCAGCAGTGGTGTGAGCGGCTGTGTGGTCAGCTCAAAAGAAGACCCTGGCCCCATGGTGCTGGACAACCCGGTGACCTTCCCCCTGGAAGAGAACTTGGGTCTGGAGATCATTCGTGAAGAATCTAATGCTCCTCTTCTGCCTCCGCGGCCTCCACCCCCAGACAGTCACCCACCTCCGCCCCCTCCACCCCACAGCTTTTCCAGGCCGCGGCGCATGCCTCAGGAGACCAGCGAGAGCTTCTTCCCTTTACTGACCAATGAGCACACAGACGAGCACACGCACTCGCCCAATCACAGAGACTCTCTTTACACCAGCATGCCGGTGCTCACCGACCTGCCTGATGCGCACATGAACGGGCTGACCGACGGAGAGGATGAGAGTTCGGGCGAGCTTCAACCTTGTAAAAGCGCCACTGCCCCGGAGCTGGATGATGTTTACTACAAGAGCATGCCCAACTTGGGCTCCAGAAATCACCTCCATGAATTGCAAAGCTACTACCACATGGGCCGTGGTGGGAGTGATGGGTATATGGTATCAGAAAATAAGGACGAGTCTGATTCTTCGCCGGAAGAACCTCCTGTAGACCCTTCTCATCTGGTCACAAGTCTATAGAGCTATCCTAAAGACTTCTATCCCTCCCCTTGAAGAAAAAAAAAACTCCTCCCAACATCCAAATCAGACAGAGCTCGCCCTTGATCGCCAAATACTTGTGACACTTCTGTCGTTGGTAGAAGTGCAAGCAAGAAACTGAATGTATCGTCGAGAACAAAGTTTGTGGGCACATCTCTCTTCTAATGACTTGGAAATGAACAGGAAAAGGGGAGGGATTTTGTAATTTTATTCACTGTTACTTTATTATGGATGGATCTTTCAATTGACCGTAGCCCAACGCAAATGCCCCACTTTGGACCTTCTCTAGCAGTTCATAGCATCTAGTATCCAAAACCTGGTTAAAGGACCTGTTCGTCTTTTGTCTGTTCTCTCTGTCAATCTTAAAGACTTGGATGAATCTTTTCCAAGGGGAAAACAAAGGTGGTAAGCAGTGCACAACATAAACTAGCCATAAAAAGGCTCTGCCCCATTACCTGCCAATCAACATGGAGGATTTACTATGACTATTTCCTGATCATGAAATGACTTGGGGAAAATAAACTGCAAACATATCACTGATGTTCTCTCTTCCTGTTTCATATCTGCTCAACTGGAGTTGTGTCTGGGCTGGTGTAACATTCCTGCAACTTGTAGTGACTGCGGCTACTGTGTATTTCAATGAAAAATAAGGACGATCATATCACAGACTTGATATAAAAATGGGTTTTCTTTCCTTTCTTCTACACATTTTTCTTTATCAAAAGGATTATGAAGAAATCACAAACTATTTCTATGTATTGTACAGAATACAAATACAATTGTTGCATATGACCAAGTCTTATTTTAACATGAGTTTACAAGGTTTTTTTGTATGTGGAACTGTTCAGAAACATCTTCATGCTCTGTTTTAGAAGGAGCAAGAAACGATCATGTCTCAAATTTCTTTTTTATCATTACAGAGACAATGAAGCACTTCTTGATTAAATACATTTACCCAACACTCCATCCAGGACCTTTAATAGCCACACTGCTATCACTCACTTTTGAGATAAGTTTCTATACTTTACCACTGTGTAGTTTTGAAGTTACCAAGATGGTTAAAATGATGATTCATTAAAACATTTACTTGTTTGGAGCCCTCGTTAAATTAGCAAATGAATGGAAGTATATCCTGTCTGCCAAGTACTAATTGAAGTGAAGCTAACTGATGTGCCGGTTGGCATGGTGACTGTACAGAACAAATGAGATTATAAATGTCTGGTTTGAAAAAAGACAATTGAAAGGGGATCTATGACCCCTGAAAGGCCAAGATTACACTGTAAATGTGTAGTGAACAAATGTGAAAACCACTGCAGCACTGTCCGTGTGGAGATGCCGATGTTTACTTATGTAGGAGGATCAATTGGTAAAGTGTATGAAGTCTAGCTTGCACATGTATCCCACAAGTCCCCTCCATATCCCTGAAAGAGAAATTATTTATTTATCTGTTTATTGGTTAAAGATGGCAAAACAAGCTTGAAGAATAGAGGCTAGTTCTGTGTAGGACTAAATACAAGTGGCACTGGCTTTGTTTTTGGATAATTTTTTTAAATTATTATGATCATGATTATTACAATATTATGCTAATTATTTATTCTTTTTGTATGGGTTCAAAGTTGAATGATCTCAAAACTAATATTTGTTGTAACAGTGAAAGTTGTTTGCCAACAAATAAATTACTGACATAGATGTTGCCGTTTTCGTCCTCTTGAGTCTCATCAGTTGATATACAAGTATTTAGGGAACGTTCAAACATCAGCCATTGAAAAAGGTTGTGGCCCAAAATATGATATGAATGTATTTGTGTTTATGAATATCTCTTGTTATGTAAAATAGGCATCGGCAAACATGACCCTGAGCTTGTGGTCCTCACATGATGGTATTTTGTCATTTGGGATAAGAATGTCCATACATTTTTTCTGTTTTACCAGACTTCCCACCTCAACTGGCTCCTCTGTCTTCATGTTTGTGTTTATCAAATTTGTTCTGCAGGTTGACCAGGGCTTGTACTCTTTTTACAAACTCAGAAAGTATTTGCCCAATTGAAGGACCAAAGACAATGATCAAAGCTTGGCCAATCACAGATTGCAGCAGGATTACTATGGCAACAACACATCATCAGTAGGGTAAAACTAACCTGTCTCACGACGGTCTAATCCCAGCTCACGTTCCCTATTAGTGACAACGATAGGAAGAGCCGACATCGAAGGATCAAGGCTCTCATCCTCTAAACACTGTTATTGTTACTATAGTTATTTATTCAAGCATGTCTATAATAGTTCTACCAAGTTTAGGTGAGGTATATCATTTTAAGAGGCGCTACTATGAGATTTGCTATTTTAATTTTTTTGTTTATTATTTATGCCTTTATTAGTCCATTTCTGGGTCGGGGGGGGGGACAATCAGAGCTACCACCCAATGCTCATAGCACCAGTCCCTCGATGATCCTCCGGCAGGTGGTGAGTTTACAGGAAGATGTCTTCTCCATCAGTGGTGGCATAGCCTCGGTGAAGCGAGGGCTTCAGCCAACGTGGGGTTAAGTGTCTTGCCCAAGGACACAACCACAGCAGGCATGAGTGGGAGCAGTTAGAGAGGGTCTCATGGGGGGATCAAACCCACGACCTTCAGACCCAAAGGCCAATGCTCTACCAGCTGAGCATTGGCCTTTCGCTCATTTAATTTTTTTATTTTGCCAACAAAAAACATTCACTTCCTTGTATATATAAAAAACTATCTTGCTGTCATTAAATTTAAACAAGATTAAAGTTGATGCATTTGGGACAGACATAATATTTGCTTCTCACAATTTCTATTGTGATATTATATCGGCACTCACTTATCAAGTCCTGGATTACGAAGCCTATTCAGAACAGTGCCTTCATGAGGTGAGTTTGTTTGTTCTCCCTGTGTCTGTGCATGTTTCACTCAGGGTGCTCTGCTTGCCCATACCACTAAAACATGTATATTGGTCAAATTCACCAGCTCTGGGAGTCCTGACTAAGCCGAGTATTGACATCTGTAGATGAGTGGCTAAGCACTGAAACCACATGGGTCAACTGCAGAAGACAAATATCCCTTTAGGGACAATAAAATATAACTTAACTTCTGATATCATGACTGGACCTTCAGAAACAATGTGTTCCTCGTTCAAAGAACACAGTTAATACGATTAGTCAGCTGCTACTTCTACACTTGCACAAAACAGCTCCATTTACTGGTGGCGAGTTGCATGCTGGGATATAGTGAGTCTGTGGAGGTTTGGGCTCCACACCATAGTACGTCATACTCGCTCTGGGTCACACGCTCTTGTCAAAATACTCCCAGCAGATGTTTCCTCTCGAAGTGAGCAAGTTTTTGTCATAAATCAAATTAACAACTTGTCAGCTAAGGAAAAAGGTTTAGACGTCATTTTTGAAGCAGAGTCGATGCCAAAGCAACTGCCAAAAGTTAAAGAATACACTGTTTATATAAAATAAGCTATGAAATAAAATGAATAATTGTGATTAAGAATTTATCCATTTTTACTGCTACCGTTCTTGTTGAAGGACAACTACTGCTTGAAATTAATGTGTGTAAACTCTCAGTCGTACAGGGATTATTCTAAAAAAAATAAACGTTTCTCACCCACATCTACCTGAAGTACAGATGATGGGTGAGCAACCTTTCTTTGTGCAGCCTGAGATGTAATTACATTGTTGACATGTTTTGGACATTAGAACTGTCACCCGCCTTGATGATGTGTCATTTATCAGCTGATGGACCTTCCTGAGTAGGCGCGGTCAGATTGACAGGTTCCTCAGACTGACCACACCCCCTCACCCTCTAGAGCAGGGGTGTCAAAGTGGCCTGGGGGCTAGATCCGGCCCCCAGGATGATATTTGATTAGAGTTAGAACCGGCCTTCCCAGAGCCATAAGAGAAAATTGGATAATTGTTCAGGATATGTTTTTTTTCTTTAGATTAAGTTTTTTTTGGCTGTGAGGGTGTTGAAAAATGTTTTTGCTTGAAATTACAGACAGAGCCAACACAACAATTTTGGATTATTCATTTAATTATAAATAAAATACGGTACACTGTGTGAGGTTGCAATCATTTTATTATGTTTTAATAAACACTGAACCAGTCCGGCCCTCGGCTTGTAGCAAATTGGGTTTTTTGGCCCTCTGATGTATGTGACTTTGACATCCCTGCTCTAGAGTACAGTGTGATGGCCATCTAATGTGATGGAGCGTGTGCCGTCATGCAAAAAATCTGTCTCTAAATATGTAAATCTTATATATGCCAAATGATATGTAGCTGTAATTGCAGGTTCTAGCTCATAGGGAAGAATTATTTTGCAAGCCTAGTTTGTATTTCTTTCTTCTTTTTTCAAGTCCATCGAGTCCAGTTTAGTGTTGCACGTGATACATTCATAGCCCCTTATATCTGGCATGACAAATTACAGTTAATCAGCTAATCTGATTCGATCGCAAACATGGTCTACTACCAACATCTGAAAACATTATCACTATCTTCACGATGTTGCTGGGAAATGGTCCAAAACAACCATTGCAAAACAGTGTTCACAACCCTGTTTGCCACAAGCTCTGGTTGGCATGTTTATAATATTAAAGCCTTGCTCCATGCCTTATCTGCTTTGATCATAGATGCACTTTGTTAAAAAAGTCTGAGAAAATATTAATGGTGGTTTGGGGCACTGAGAAGAAAGACCTCCCACCAATAAACAGAAAAAGCTTGGGAAAAAGACACATTTTTAGGAAGAATTGTCTATCCATCCATCTAAGCATTGTTGCCACCTTTCCTGGCTGCTCCCCGTGCCTGCTCTTGCCTTGTGTGGCGCCACGCTGCCAGTAGCAGGCTGATTAAATGAGCAGTGGTCTATGTGGGTCATATCTCAGTTGGAGCGCTCTGATCGGTTAGTGCTGCCTGCCTGTGTTATCTTCCCCGACTCCCTGCTTCCTCTGCTTCAAGGGGAACGGCTTT